ACACAACAACGTTGGCGAGTGGTTCCATGAATCAGATGAAGCCACGATGCCCATCTTACAAGGCTCTCATACAATATCATACAACTATTAATCATGCCAAAGCATCGATTAATTGCGCCACCAAACTTTTGGCTAACCGACCCTCAATAACTTTCAAACTTTCTTTTTCTATCTCGTGTTGTTATCTATGCGCAGCTCGTTCAACTCAGCGCGAATTCTTAAAACTCCAACAAAAAGATCGATATGCGATTTCTACGCCACCAAGGGAATCTCCGTGTAATCTCCCATATGGCTACCTGCATGACCTACGCCTTACACAAGATTTCCATTCCTGAAAAAAATTCGGTCGGCACAATCCGGGGGCTCAAAGTACTTTTGGTAAATTCGCCAAGAATTTCCATAAATCGATTTCAAACTCAGCCGAATTAGATAGTCGCTAATCAAATGCTTCTTTTTCCTCTTCTTGTTGTTGTATGACCTAGCTATTATGATAGCATCATGAATGTATTGATACTTCCAATGAATGAGTAAAGGCTTACTTTTTCCTTCGATTCTATTTGTGTTTTCTTCCATGCATGGGACGAGGTAACAGGCCTTGCATCCTTGTATCACAGCAACTTCGTACCAACCACGGTTCTGGATCCTTATTTGATCTCCCTTGCTGCATGAAGCCGAATTTCGGTTCCTGGTCGTCGGGTTGATCACAATTTCACGTACCTCCAATTGGTATTCGTGTACTTCCTTTCGTACCGCGCCTGTCGACAAATTTGTTAGTCTACACTATTTACATGTCGATTGTGCTGCACGACATCTAAAACAACAGCTGAATCAACGAAGGACCTTGCATTGTATTTGACGATACGATCAAAACTAAACTCATTGCGAAAGGGAGAAAGGCAAAGGAAAGAACGCTTTTCCCGTCCGGTACGAATACTCCACGTGGTGACGACGGAAATGGAAATTGATGACGATAATCTCACCGCTGAATATGGACTGTTCCCGCGTTCGCCACGTGGATATGAGGCAAGCCGAGAATTCAACAATTTTCTCAGGCCGTTCTGGGCGAAATCATAACGGGGAATGGTTGTTATACGAGGTAAACCTCAAAGAGCGGGATGGATACACGGTATGTAATCAGCCTTTTCTTTCCTGTCCACTTGGCATATGCATTGATGATCATTGGACATCTGCAAGTGGGAGAAATCTTCGAAGCATAACCGTCTGCACGGATAGGCAACAAGGCTTTGGAAATAATGGAGTGCCACCAATACCCTCGGGGAAAACGCGGGTAGCTTCATACTTACACCCCATGGGGAACAGCTTCTCCGCTTACTGTGAGACGCAATATGGAGGCGGGATGAAGAGTACCGCAGAGTAAATAAGCTGGCAGAGATTATGTGAATGGCATCTTGCGAAATCACGCGTACTTGCGAGGCTAGAATGGTCAAAGTTCAGGTAGGTACTTTGCAATCATTTCAGTGGAAAGTTTTCCTCGATTACGTGCTTTGAGATGTACGAGTGCATATCGATGTAAGTCAAAGGATAGAAAGGGTTGTGTATGGCTTTCGGTCTCGCGTGTCAATGAGTTTGCCATGTTAGATTATCAAGGCGGTGGCATGGAAATGTCGCCGCAGTATCAAATATCAGTGTCTTCTTGCACTATGGTTTCTATCTACCATCTAGTTTTCAGTGGAGTGCTAGAAAGTGAATTCAAAGATTAGTTGTAGCCATTCAGATAACTTTCTCCTCTCCTAAATGTTTTGTTGTACTTCTCAGATGTTAATTATAAGTCAAGAACTTATTAAGTCAAGGAATCTCCAAGTCAAGAAACTTCCAAGTCAAGAAACTTTCAAGTCAAGAAATCTTGTAGTCAAGGATTTCCTGGATTTCAGACATATAACATAGAGTTTAGCTCTAGAAATTACTGGCTTGCCATTCTAGGAATGTTACCTTGAATCTCTGATCTTCACTCGAATTCATGCGATGATATCCAACGAAATTGGAAAATGATGATGAAAATGATATCTGTAACAATGGGGGAAAGATTTACGAGTAGCTAGCTACATAGTCGGCTATGATCAGATGCTTGAAATCCCAGACTTTCACTTCCAAAGATGCCTCTTGTTTCTTAAAGGGCTCAACGGTTTATGTTTTGATGCTAAAACCATTTTCGTCGTTGACTATAAGTTTAGTTGTAGAGATAGCTAATATGGCAGTTATATGGCGTGATAGTTGATGCTAGACGGACTCGGTGAAGCTTCTTGTTACTTCATCGTATTAGATGTTTGATGTTAGTTAATTTACCATATTAATTCCTTTCCTGTTGCCTCACCTAATACATGTTCTCTGACATGTTCCGTAAAGTCTATCGCAAGTGACTTATGATGAGATTTACAACTTCATTGTTCTTTACCTATTGATGCGCAACTACGACCAGTTACTTCATTAATCGTGACTCTTCCCTGATTTGTAAGAAGATCAGAAATGTTCGGAATATACCAGAATCTAGTCTCAACGAACCTTAATCGTCTGATGGATCTAAGCTTCGACTAGAAAAAAAAGGGGTTTTCCGGGGATCCGAGATATCACTGGCAATACAATCTTTAAAAATGCATGTAATAATTAAAACCTCACAAACTTTCAACTCGATTAATTGTATTCTATTATTCTTTCATTCTGTCATCTTCCACTTCAATAAAACAATCAAAGAATTCAATCCCAAAAATTGCATTGCGATATCATCTATACGAGTAGATCCAGCCTCCCAAGTTCCCATCCACCCCTGACAAATGTCCACCCAATCTTGAATTTTAAATTCCCCGAATGCACGATCGAACACGAAACATACATACATACACACATACACAGAAAAGAAATAACCCGATGTGATAGCGGAGTGCAGGAATCGGTACGGAACCATTCATTTATTCATTTATTGATTCACAAGTCAATTGCCGATCACAGTGGTAGTCACTATCACATGCACATGCATGTGCAGATAATTTAGAGGTGTGGGTGGGTGAACGGGTAAATGAGTGAACTGGAAGGAATAGGATGAACATGGTTTAGACGTGGAGTAGAGTTCGGGATTGACTTCTGTTTTGGGGTGGAACGCCGTGGGGGCTGGGAATGCGGGGTTGGATGGATGGGTTGGAATCGTGTTGGGGTGTATTTTCGAGGGATTTTGGAGAGAGGGGGAGATGTATGGTTTGTTGGGAGTTGTTTGTGCTGATATGGATTATTAATGGATGGATGGATGGATGGATGTTGGAGGTGGAGATGGAGATGGAGTATTTTTTCAGTATAATCTAGTTGTCAGATCTTGAAACCTATATTCTATGGATACTCCCACGCTTCTTGCACACCTCAACCCCGAAGCCAAACACACAAATCTTTGAAAGCTTTGCCTAGGGCGCATGCATAACTGTCAAAACCATGCGCCAGACTCCCATCTAAACATGCAACTATGTATCAATTCCCTCTGCCAACAATCTCCTCGCAGATATACTCCATTTCTTCTCCCTAACAATCATGCACTGTCTACATCTACCTATACATGTTAGAAACTGTCCATCTAGATCATGCGCACGAGCTGTTGCTGGTGCTGGTGCTGTGTATTTGAGTTGATCGTCGGAGAATCTTTACCAAAGTGGTTCATGCATGAATCCAATTACTGCCTCGATTTTGTGATCGATTATTCGATCATTGAGCAAAGCATACATCATACATCGTGCCATATACTTTCCTCCTCCAGGTAATGTAATTCTCCATGTACTTCATCACGAGCCATCAGGGTAATGCAGTACCGGCAGCAAGTCCTCCGATCGAACATTGCTGGCTATGACTACACATTATATATCTTGAAAGATCAACATCTAATCTTTTCCGCTTCTCAGAAAATATAAAATACCTTGAATACCGATCAATACAACAATGTATAAAAATGCTGAGACAAACGGGATACTGATATTCGATACGAGTAGTTATATGATATATGATAGTCAACAGTACTCAAAACAAAACAGGATCCCTCAATCTACTCGTACAAGAAAGAAACTACACACAGACTACAGCGGCAAAACTTCCTTTAAACATCACACCGCAATCATGTATGAAGACTGAAACTGAAACACATATAGCAGGTCGTAATCAAGTGCAGAGTCTGGGGTTCACAAGATTAATATTGTAAGTGCAATATTGCCAGCTAGCTGGCCCTGACTCCTGAGACGACCGTCGACCTCAGGCTCGTTTAGATGGAAATATTCCGAGTCGAGGTTGATGAAAATGGCTTGAGGAATGGTGTAGAGGTCATACATAAGTAGCTCGTTGGGATTTTAATGCCAGGGAGTGATTATATGGTGAGATTTTTGTAGAGAATAGAAATTGGGAATCGTGTGGAAGATCATGTTGAGTGTTGAGGTTGAAGTCGTGAGGTGAATTGGATTGGGTTGGATTGGATAGGGAGAGTGGAAGTGTTGGTGTTGGAGGTGGAGGTGTTGGAAAGAAGGGCTGTGAGAGGAGTTGCTCTTGAGAGAAGGAATCAGAATATGACGGCATTGACATCTAGTACGTACGCGGTATGTGGTTCGTGGTATGTGGTATGTTATCTTGAGATAAAAAGTTGCTCTCATACTTATGGATTCCTGGAAATATCGGATGGGAGAAAGATGGACATGGATAGGTAATGTAAGGTAAGGTAATTCCAAACCTCCCAAGATATTTGTAGCTCAATGCATATACATATTACATAATTACCATAGAATCCAGATGCTACCGGTACTAATTATCCGAGCACAATCCGTTTACTACTGTAGTAGTATTATCTTACCATACCATACTTAAACACTCACTCTGGAACGCGACCAGCATCAGCACAGGCAGATATGAGCTGATGATAAGTCCTTACCAAGTGGAGTGGGTCATACTACCTAATATATGAAAGGCAGGAGTAGTTGAAACTTTGAGACGCTCGCTACATTAGTAGGCCTTACAGTAGTAACTTACTCGAGTAGAAAGTGCAAGCCGGTATGGGCTGGGCCGCCATATCTAGATGTTAGATGCGATGTTAGTAAAGATGATTTCCTAATTCATGTTACTGTAGTAAGTGGTTTATCCGCCAGTTGACTGAAAGTCATACATATACAGAACAACCCTTCTTTGCAGACGTTGCTCGAGTAGTCCATGGAAGAGACTTGAACGTTGAAGAGCCGGGACAGCTACTCAGAAAAGAGCTGAGGATGAGGAGCTATTCATTATCACCTTATCAAGGATTTATAGTAAGATGTTGAATGCCAGTGAAACTGAATTAAATGTAGTATTACTAGTGAAATGTCACGCTGGTAGTTTGAAATTCTACTGAAAACGCGCTTGATCGGGTATACCACAACTCCAATAATCGCTCTCCCATTGGTTCTCGCTCCCATCCTCCTAATATCTATCTATCCCCTACCTACCGTCTCTCAAATCTCTCAATCCACCCCCTAACTCTCTCGCAGTCCCATCTATCGTAAGCCTTCTCAGCTATCATCCCCTTAATACCCTCAGCCATCTCATGCCTCTCAAATCCAGCCGGAAATACACCCGATTTGATATTATTCAGCACAACTTGACGCTCACTTCGCGTTGTGAAGGGGGTGATGAGCTCAAAGGCTATAATTCCCAAGGCATAAACGTCTAATTTAGGACAGACAATTGACGACTTGCCGGGAGGTATATATAATTTTGTGCCGGCCTGTCTTGACCCTAGGCGAGAAAGTTGAGACGATGGATTGAGGTCTATGGCTCTAATAGAATGACCCGCAGCAGAGGTGGCTGTTGTTTCGGCTAATTTGACTGCTAAACCAAGGTCTCCGATGCAAGGCGTGACGTAGGCTTTGTTCTGATTCGGAGAACCAGCACAAGTAGGGCAGGCGCTTTTGCTGACGTCTATAAGGTTGTGAGCGGGAACAAATGCTTCGAGGGATTTCTTGGCAGAGAGGAATATATTGGCGGGCTTGAGATCTCGGTGAATTAGGCGCTTTGCATGTAGATACTGGACACCATTGAGAAGTGCACCCAGGATTCGAATTGTGGGGAGTGTATGAAAGCAGTGGCGGATAGGAAACTCGTGACCTGGCTTTGGTGCGTCGGTCGAGATGTATTCCTCTAATGTAAGAGGATAGGCAGTAAACCGGATGTATAGAATACGAGCTCTGTCGTCTTGTGGAGTGATTATATTGCCATTATCAATGACTTCCTCATATTCCTCTTCATGTTTATTCGAGGACTTTCTGCTAGCTGTTGTTGTCGTTCCTGACTTTGATATTTCAAATATAACACAGCCACCACTATCATTAGAGAAACTATGACCGTTGGTAGTTTCACCTTGTCGCTTTCTTCTATTATCTTTGTCTAGCTCTTTTTCCATGTCCAGACGCAAGTCAGTCATACCGAAAGTGGGGTCTTCCTGCATTCCAAGTCCGTCTTCTGATCGCTCTACTTCGCTAACAACAAATGTTAGTACAATCTACTTGAGAAAAAGCTCTTGATAACCCAAATAAATTCACTACACAAGATGGACTCGGTATAACAAGATAACCTCAGTGCATAAACGGGTTCATTGTTGGATTGTACTCTGAACATCGAATGGTTTGGTAACAAGCGTAAAGAATTCCTTACCTCACAGTCATTGAAAGGTAACCTGACATATCACCTTTCATCAAACGAATCTCTGATGAATCAACTACATTCCCCATTTCAATCCAGCAGCCATAGTAATTGACAATATTGGGGTGTTTATGTTCAGCCAATGCTTTAACCTCAGACAACAGTGCGTCTGTATCAACCTGGCGTAGCTGATCCGGTGTTATGATGACCTACGAAATTCGGAAATCAGTAAAGTAACCTTCAAATAGAGTTGGACACTCCAACAGAGTTTAAAATACCAATGGAGTAGGACCTCGGGCTTGCTCACCTTCTTGATAGCGCATTCTAGATCATCGACTCTATGTCTGACTTTATAGACCGCGCCAAAGCCCCCTTTACCCAATAGACTGATCTGCTCCCATTCTCTGTTGTAGATGGATTTGTATTGAAATGGATTTGAAGTTAAAGCAGCCGACGAGAAAGGGTTCTTGGAAACTACTGCGAGATTGAGATTTGCTGGCTGATGAGATGTAGCAATTGATGAAGACGATGTTGAAGAAATAAGGGAGCTCTGGTTAGGAGGCGAGTTCCGTACACGCTGTGATGCCCTTTGCGAAAGTATCGTATCGAGAGTTCGAAGGTAACCCTCACGTCGGCTTGCATATTTTTGGCTTGCAAGCTCATCTGCTCCAGGAAGAACCCCGGATTTATGAAGCTCACCCGCCATATCACTGAAGAGGACCTGGGCTAAACGTTGCACAGTTGGATGATTTTCCGGCAACTTATTACCTGTTGCACGACCAGAGTTTAGTGTGGTCAAAGCTTGTGCCTTACATCTTTCCTCGAGTAAGGAGAGGGAGAGGGAGAAGATGGGCGATTGCTGAAGGGCTGATTGTCCTTTTGGCAATTGCACATCGTCAATTCTTGTCAAGGACCTCAGGGCTATGGGAAGAGGGCTCTGCTGAGGAGGGTTGATTTCCTCTGTAGAAGAATCATACTGAGATTTTTCATTTTCATCCGATGTCTCCTCTTCGCCGAAGAAGCTTTTCTTGTTGTTGGTGAAAGACATTGATATTGTATCTAAGCCTTATGGTGTCCTTGGACGATCAATATGAAACTGAGGGTCTCAACATTGAATAGTCGATTTATAAGACATAAGTTATAATAAGATATGAAGAGATATGAGAATAAGTATACTCGAGTACGAGTATGAATGAAAGAGTGTGAGTCTAACTTTTATACTCGAGTATGCTCAATTGCTACTTTGACTTTATTGGAATCTGTCAAGTAGAAGGCTCTAAGGGGGTTGTACGGTAATAGGGCTGAGTATGAAGTTGCACCGAGCTCTAGAACAGTCAATCGAAGCTTCTGTCCACTTCTGGGGGGAATGGAGCACGTGACGTAACCTTATTAAGAGAGCGGCAGGAGAGATAGGCGGTGAGTGTCGGCAATAACCTTACACAACTTCATGACTTTCTCTTGTGGGTAAGAAGAATGTCTAATCTGACTTCTCTCTCTATTACGAAGGTTTGACTGTGTTTCAAGCAAAGTTGCAAAATTGTTACGAAGTCCATCGTAATCAACTCATGAACGATTCAACGCCAGATCAGATGTTGCTGGCTCCTCTTTTTCTGGCACTATAGCGCGCTTGTGTGACGAACTGAACGCGTTATATGACTGAGGGTTGAGTAATTTCTCGTTCGTTTTGGTTGTTGAGGGTAGAAGTCTATGCGAGAAGGGGTGTTTATTGGATCGATAACGAATTTGCTGCGAAAGTACCCATGGTGAATACATTCCTTGACAGTAATTTCAATGCTCACTCTACAGCAAACTTTGAACGATATTATTCAAGATCAAAAGGGCTTTCGAATTCATCTTCGTCGAGAACTTGTACTAGAGACTAACTGCTTAGGTGAATATCAGACGGTGATTATCTTGGGATAGAAACTCGATTGAGCGACAAAGTAGCTCAATATGAGGATCGCATTGCACCACGTCTACACTTGTTTTATCCCATCAACTGAGCCACCAAGAAACAGCCCCTGAATTTCATACAAATTTTATTCTCCAGCAGACATCAACACTCTTATCAAGCTATGAGAACACTTCCATGGAAGAAGGGCAGTTCAACTACAGAAACTCGCCCGAAGAAAAGCATCGCATCAGTAGGCAGATCTACGAAACGTTCACGTGTTGAAGCATCTCCTTCAGACAGCGATGAAGATTTTGACCATCTTCGCAAGCAGATCAAATCTGTAAATCATAGTATGTACCCTTGTGAGCAGTGCTCTGGACCTTCTTGCTGATCGATGAAGGTCGTGAGCCATCCACATCGCCACCGCCAGAGCCTCCCGCTGAAAGGTTTGTCACATGACGATCTATTTTTATATCGCTGATCAGATAACTAGATTCATGGAGGAAGGTCCAGAGCATGACGATAAATATCGTATTGTTGAAGACGAGCTTTTGACGGTCGCGAAGTCATTCACAGTACATCTACACACGGCTGAATATAAAAGGCTCGGAAAAATAGCCAAAACACGAAATGCCGACACTATCAATTCCATTTCAAGGCCGGTTGTTGGTAGAATGTCTGATGCGACCAAACGTAAGACCGAAGAGGTTACAAGGTCGAAAGATCAGCGAAATATTCTAGAGAAATTAGTTGGTAAGAAAGAGGGGGAGCTTTCGGACGAAAGTGATGAAGAAACGTTGCCCTTCGTCGGAACCTCACTTTATGGTCTGATGGCAAGTCCCAAGAAGAAGAGAGGAATATCACTCATGCAAATTTCATCGCCCACAAAAACTACAAGAGCAGCTGCAGGATTCCGCAATTCCACTAAAATGAAAGCTGTACAACGCGCAACTTCTCCAACTATGAAAGGCGAGACTGAAGTTATGATTCTGGACCCAAATTTTACTGCTTCCGAAGACGATGATGATGATCTTGATGGCCCTATTTCGGCTCCAAAGTTCTCGTCCAGACCAAGTACCAAGAAAGACATTCTGTATACCAAGCCAACAGCCAGATTACCATCAGCACCACAACCAGCCAAATCTAGTGCGCTACCAAGTCCGAAAGCTCCCGCGACTCTTGGTCCCAAAATCTCTAAACCCACCAACGCTCCGACGACAGATTCCTCGTCTCAGCCTTCTACCACTAAAGATAGGATAGCAAGAAGAATCGCGCAGGCGAAACTTAGAAAGAAACAGGAAGAGGAAGACAAAGATAAGCTCGACATCATACCTACGTTCTTATGATAAATTGACAATCATGTGTTGATATTATGATCACTATTTAAACACTAACACAATTTTACGAGTTTTCATTGATGGTCCATCTTAAGGAATTAGGAACTATCATTTTGTCGGGCGCACAGCTATACAAGGATTTTTCTGTACATAATCACGCCTTGAAAGGCGTCTCGTATGGCGCTTCAGCCTGCGGTGTGATTCGTGCGAGATGCCTACGAGCTCCGCCCGACCAATCAACAAGAGCTGTGTGAGTTGCCACTCTGTTGTCCCATACTACCACAGTCTTCGGGGCCCATTTGACTCTCAAATGAAAGTCGGCTCCGAGTGCGATGTGGTCGTACAAAAAATTCTAAGCAATAGTCAGATTATCTTGGATATTGGGTGCAAAGGCTGAGGAGGGTATTACCAATAGCACATCACTTTCCTCTTGTTTGAACCCTACAATCTTTCGAGTGACTTAAACAAAGGTCAATATTCGGCATATAAAGCGGGGGACATACTTCTATACTCACACTGTTTGTTAACATATAATGCTTTTTCTCCAGTCACAGGGTGCGTTCGAATAAGAGGATGAACGTTCACAACAGGCTCCCTTCGAGCAATGCCGTTCCTATAGCGAGAAGCGTTCACTTGCTCGATTCCAGAGTGTGTTGCAGAGAGTCCATGCAGACGCTCTTTGAATGCATCACTGAGTCGGTTATATGCTTCGACACCATTGGCAAAAAGAGTATCTCCTCCAGTCTCTGGGACGTCAAGAACGTATAAGAACGTTGTTCCCGGGGGCTGCTTCTCATATGTGACATCTGAATGCCACGCTACACTATTTGTTCGAGTCTCGAAGAAGTGGTCAGCTGTCTTGTCACCAGCTGCTCTGTGTACTATGTGCACTTCGGGATGTCCGGCTGGACCACCAGATGTTGGGTGAATATGTGGTCGTCCAAAATATCCGCCGTATTCGAGGGCTTCTGCAATCGGTAGATCTGCAAAGTCTTGATCTCTGAAAGCTACAACTTTTCTCTCCGCGACAAATCGAGCCAATTGGTCTTTACCGGCATTGCTCAGTTTACTTAATTGTACACCTTTGATTTCGGTGCCCATCGCCGGTGTCAATTCGACTGCTTCCACGCCTGGTGCAAGTAGTTCTGGATAAGATGTATCGGCGTCTAGTCCATGGTCTCTGTGCTCGAAAGACTCGAGGGGTTGGTACGTCACATTATCCCATGTTGGAAGATAATGTGGGTACTAAGATCAGGTATTAGAATGATATGGGTGAGCTAGCCATGATGAACTCCTCGGAAAACGAACGTACTGATGCAGCAGCAAATTTGCCAACTCCTTTCTCTTCCGCTTCCTTATCAAATGATGTTGGGGAAAGTTCTTTATAGTCTCCGAGTTGATCGCGAGTAACTTTCTCATTTGTAGGTTTTTTGACTTGGATTGGAAGAGTAACTGTTTCAGTTGCTGAGGGCGCCATTGTACTTGATTGTTGTTGTTATGGATTTGCCTATTCGACTATTGGGTATAAAGACTAGAGTCGTTATTTCCTCAATCAAAGAGGATTCGACAGGGCTTAAATACATCTAATCACACCGGATATTCGCAAGTCCAATATACCTCGTTCGCCAAACCTACCACATCGGATTCGTCAATATCTAATAACGACATCGTACATGGTTCTCATTGGGGCCTTCTCCTCAATAACTACTCCGCAAAGATCTAATCATAGATAACGATTAAAGTGTAACGCGCTCGGAGACCTCCAATTCGCAAGCATATACATATGATACGCAATTCGTGGTAGATGATCGTTGAGATATCGGGGTGGCTATTGGTCCGTGGATAATGGTGCAATTGTGTTCAGTGATCACGAATATGGTTTTTTAGAATATGGAATGTGCTGCAGATGCGGAGAGTGGCGATATCGGGGATAGATGAGTATCTAGAGTAGGTAGATAGTCAAATTTACAAGAAGGTCTGTATCTGGATCATGATGAACTTCGTAGACGTCCATGTCCATGATACCCCGCCAACTACGAGTACTCGAGGGGGTAGTGATGATTCACGTGACATATTGTATTGCTAATTTGAGTCACGTGGATCTATCAAAACCGGCTTTTGAGGTAACAGACATGTAATGTAATAGAATCCATTTCTGTTATGTTCCACAGAGGAATATGCAATGTGAAATTTGATGCCACGGATACAGATACTTTTGCTTTATTTGGTCAGCGATTACTCATTATGAGTCGTGAAGTTAATGCTGAGAAATCCCATAGGTAGCCGGCTTTTGGTCTAGCGTGTATATAGACTTACTTCTAGGACTTTTGATTTCTGATTGATTGATTAATGATTAAGGTCCTTAAAAAGAGTTTGATTAGTTATCTCTTAAATAATATATATAAATTGTATTAAATATTAAGGCTCTTAAAAGGTAATCAAGATTATACTAATCTAATACAATATAGAAAACGGCCAACTAATTCCTCCGGATGAATCCATACAAAAGTCACATGATATCCGGTGGGTTAGTGCACACGCTTAACTAGCCAGCGTCATTCTCTATCGTTTATCTCTGCGGGGCAACTTTTTTCTCTTTTATCAAAATCCCACCATCAAAAAAAAACCCCCAAGAAAATACCGCCATCATGTCTGCTATGGATATTGATGACGCGCCGGTATCTATTGCGTCTAGATTTCAGACGCAAGAGCAGAAAACTGGTGCTACGTAAGTATCTTCTCTAGAACTTCTCGCCTTCTTATCGCTGATAGTTTTGAAGTATTCTCTGTTGTAACTGTGCCGCTCCTATCGATGGAACAGCATCCGCCGGCGCTCTCTGTTATGACTGCGTAAAACTCACTGTCGATGTATCGCAAGGTATTCAAAGAGAAGCCACCGTACACTTTTGTCGAGATTGCGAACGATGGTTACTCCCACCTCAAACCTGGATTGTCGCCTCCCTCGAATCCCGAGAACTTCTCGCCCTCTGCCTAAAGAAACTTAGAGGTTTACATAAAGTCCGAATTATCGATGCGAGTTTCATTTGGACGGAACCCCATTCTCGAAGAATCAAGGTTAAGCTTACTATACAAGATTCGGTATCGGATGGTGTAGTGTTACAACAGACCTTTGAGATCGAATATGTCGTTGCCTACCAACAATGTCCCGATTGTGCGAAGTCCTACACTGCGAATACATGGAGAGCTTGCGTGCAAGTTAGACAGAAGGTCCCTCACAAGAGGACTTTCTTGTTCCTGGAACAATTGATCTTGAAGCATGGTGCACACAAGGATACTATTAATATCAAGGAAGTGAAGGATGGTTTGGACTTTTTCTTCGCAGCACGAAATTCGGCGGAAAAGTTTGTCGACTTTTTGAACTCCGTGGCCCCTATTACATCAAAGAAGTCTCAGGAACTCATTTCCATGGATATTCACACATCTACCAAATCCTACAAATTCTCCTTCTCCGTCGAGGTGGTACCAATTTGTAAGGATGATTTGGTTGCGCTTCCGATTAAGTTGGCAAGGTCGGCTGGAAACATTTCTCCTCTGGGTCTCTGCTACCGAATTGGTAATTCGATTAATATTCTTGATCCACAAACACTTCAGACTGCGGAAATCAGTTGCCCTATCTACTGGCGTGCACCATTCAAGCCTTTGGCCGATGTTCAGGAATTGGTGGAATTCATTGTTATGGACATTGAGCCCCTTGGACCTACAAAGGGACGATGGGCGCTTGCTGAGGCTACCGTCGCTCGTGCATCTGACCTCGGAATAAACGACAGAACCTTTTACACAAGAACGCATCTCGGAAATGTAGTTCATCCAGGAGACTCTGTCATGGGATACATGATGACCGGCACCAACTTCAATAACCCCCAATACGACGCCCTCGAAGCATCCAGCAACTATGCATCAAAGATTCCCGACGTAATGCTTGTCAAGAAGTTGTACGCAAGAAAGAAGAAGTCTAAGAACAGAAACTGGCGTCTCAAGCGTATGGGTAAAGAAGAAGGAGAGGTCTTACCCAGGAAGCAAGATCAAGTGAAGCAGGATAGAGATTATGAGATGTTCTTGCAGGATGTCGAGGAAGATCCTGAGCTTAGACAGACACTTGCTTTGTATAAGGCTCAAAAGGCACAGGAGGCGGATGCTATGAGTGTAGCGGAGACCAGTGATGGTGAAGATGAGACGCCAAAGATTGATGTGAATGAGCTGCTGGATGAGTTCAATGAGCTAACTGTGAAAGATGATCAATTGGTTTAATGATTCTCTGACGGCGGTTCTTTTATATCCTTGGGTGGCGTTGGGTGGATGCGGCGTTTGACTGTTGTTTATACAATATACAACTTTAAAATGGTTATGAGGTCTGGAGATATAAGGGGACAAGAGCATAGGCTAAGCTCGAGGTAGCAAATTGATTATATAAAGATCATAGATGCTAGCTAGTACACCATCATTTAACGTTTTTCAATTGCTTCAAATCTGTATCAAATTGTATGTGAAGTGTAAAGTGTCTGTTGAACCACTGAACTTCCAATCCACTTTATTCAAAAGTTACTGAATATCAGAGTTGATATTATTGATTTTCTATAAGTAGTCGGCCAAATCTTTTAAATAGCCGGCAAGTAGATTGAAATTCTAATTTTAAGATTAAGATTAAGATTAGGATGAAAATTTGCAAGGAATCAAAATCATGTTTTTTTTTAATACACATTATGAAACTGGATATAATGCAGCGCCACTAAGTCTAATTCAACACTACATAGTGAAAAACATCTAATTATCCCAATCTAAAACAAAAAGCCTTCGAGTGTAGTACTTAAGAAGGACATCTTCCAAGTTCCTATCTCTACCCACCGGTACAAGATGTACGGCGCACGCACATCTCACCGTCGCTTCGTACCCAATCCTCGCTACCCACGCGATACGCGCGTGAGACCTCGCAAGCCTAAGTGGCATGGAAAAGGCTATCGCGAACATGGATCTACTTTTTTCTTTCAATTGCACCGGTCCTTCTCGGGTGGTAATGGGTACGTTTGAACTTTGTTGAGCCACCAGATTACTGGGTTATTTGATGCCGATGATGTTGCTGATTCACTCACGTGTGTATAGATTCAGTCGCTCCTTTCAGGTCCGTGAATTGCAAAATATGCATGAACTTCTTGATAGTCTTCAGCGTATGTAATCTTACTTGTTTCCATGGAATGGATATCTTTGGTACACTAAATGCTGATTACGACTCGATATAGGTGAAGTAGCGAGAGAATGCTCAGTGCCGGAAGAATTTCATTTCGACTTTTTTGTTCGGAAAACTAAAATTGAAGGGGAAGAAGCGTTGGTCGGAAGTATCTTTGATGGCGGAGAAACCGTTTATGCTAAAGGCACGGAGTATGTTAGTGGTGGACTCTTTGGTGCTCCGTGGGTGGCAAAGAAAAGGAGGGGTGGAGCTTGAGTAACTGCCTGTTGGATGGCAACGCGTCTTCTTGGTATCTGTCTTCTTGGTAACGAGGATATAGATACTCGTAGCACGAAATGAGAATGTCTTGATCATGGAATCTAGCTTTCTTTAATACATAGAGCATCATTTACAAAGAATCAAGATGCCATCTGGTGATGGCAGAACATATAGCGCTCGGTTTGTTGCGAATCCACGGTATCTCAGAGATAGAAGAGCTTTAGAAATTAGCGAAAGGGATGATATCTGGAAGCTTCTGCAAGGACTGGAAAGTTCCAGAGACATTCTTTCCCAACCGGCACATTGATGAAATTATGCTAATCAATGGAACGCAGGAGAAGTTGGGAGGGAAATATTGTTGCCGGATAATCTTCATTATGAGTTTTTTTGGCAGACAAACGAAGACTAAAGATGAGCAAGCGCTCATAGGTGATGTGCTAGATGGAGAGATGATATAAGCGAAAGCATTCGATATTGCGGATGTTGACTTCAAGAATTATTGGGGGTGAAAGTAAACTTGCGAAAGAAACAAGAGGAAGAAGTTGAGGCTGCTAACACTTGGTCGCAGTTGCCTCACGATACTTCATCAACTGTAGTGCTATTATAGTACTAATCATGCCATAACGTACCTTCCATAGTAATACCAGAAGCATAAATAGGGAACCTCTTAGCTCACTCCCCAAGTAAAAACAAATCCTTCGTCCTGTCATACCAGAAACATAAATAGGACAGCCTTTACTTTTACCCATCAAATCAACATATTCTTTCCGTCCCATCATAATCTCGAAACAGTGCAGAAGACGGAGTTTGACAACATGGACATCGACAGCGATTTGAACACCGTCGGAGATGTCTGTAAGAACTTTCTTCAGGACACTGCAGCTCCCGGGAAGCGGATTTACCCACGCATTGCATGCCAGAATCGAAATACACCATGCAATAAAGGATTGCCTTGCTCGATGTGTAGGGAAACAAACACAGAATGCGGATTTCGCCCAAAATTGAGTTCTTACTCTTCCAATGACCAATCCTCATCCGCAAATACACTTTCTGTAGCCTCCAACTCTGCTGATAAAGAATTATCACTCGAGAATCTACCGCCAACAGTCTCTCATCCGCCTGATACCAAATTCTCACTCGAAAATCTCCCGCCGATAGTCTCTCATCCGCCTGATAAAAAGTTCTCAATCGAAAATCTATCCCCTTTAGATTCTCCCTCTGCCGATAAAGAATTGACATTCGAGAATTTATTTGCTATAGATTCTCCCTCTGCCGATGAGGAATTCTCACCCGCAAACCCACCTTCCATAAGATATCCCGCTCTCAATGATAAATTCACACGCGCAAGCCCAGAATGCGCAAGCCCACTTATTATAGGCTCCCCTCATCACAACTTCCAATTTACAACCGTAGATCTACCATGTATAAACCCTCAACTTCTCAATCAACCATGTCTTACAGACTCTCACGATACCGTATTCTCACCCGCAGACCCATTTTCTATAGGCTATCCCGCTCCCAATGATGAATTCTCACTCGCAAGTCCTCTTACTATAGCCTCCCCTAATCCCAACAACCAATTTACATCCGCAGAACTACCAAGCATAGACCCTCTCCTTCTCAATCAACCATGTCTTACAGACTCTCACGAGTCCGTATCCTCACCCGCAAATCCATCCCCGATATGCACACGGGTAATGACTTCTGGATCGACGACGAAGGGACTATCAGGGACTTATCTCGCGGGGAGGACTTGGCCCATCATGCTACGCACACCTTATTACTCAGGGTAGGCTCATTGTGCCTCTGTTCGTGGATTAAAAAACTGACTTATTGTAGCGGCTATCAAAACGGCGTCAAGACCGCAATCCGTCTCGCAGTCTGTGAAACAGATAGTATGATGGAGCTTCTGGAACGCCTGAGGAGTAACTATTCCCATGATATCTTGATCATACAGCATTTAGTATCGCATTGAACACAGACCACAGACTGATAATTCATGTAGCTGAAGTCATAGGCTTACAAGAACTGCCGAAGCATGTTAGACTTGAATTTCGTGTGAGGGGAGCTATGCTGGTGGGTAATGATACGAAGATTGGAATGAAACTCGAGGAGGGTGAAGAAGTATATGCGTTTATTTCTGCTGGTGGAATTCAATGTTATGGAGATGAGAGAGGATGGCATCAATATTCAAGGGCACATCCCCCTAGGTAATGCGGAAGAGTTTCGGGGGATTTCAAGCGATAACCTTACTGTAATGTTTTGAAGCGGAAACGAAGGGATATTGATATCCTCTTGGGTTATTCCCTACAGCGACGAGAATGAGGGAAGGATTTCCGGATCATTCAAAACATTCATTCTCTAGCAACGCACTTGAAGTTGGCCGCCGTAGCCATTGTACTTAAATAGGCAACCTATCTACACGTGATCAAAACTTTTCGTTTCATGCCATCATTTCATTTCTTCTCTCACACCTCGAATTTCAATTCTCAACTCATCGCCATGACTGATGAATAACTCGTCTATCACGATCCGAAAATGAAGGGGTAATTTGACAAAGCAATTATGAAGCCAAATATTAATATATACCAACTTGATTTAACAAGAATGTTCAAGGCCTAAATCACTGACGTCGTTGATTAGATTATCAGTATGTATGACGTAAGTACAACAAGTAGGAGTATTTCCCAATGTCTTTATCAATACCATTCTCCCCGCATTTGATATTTCGATATCATATAATTTTTTAGTTCCATACTACCGAGTATATTAAATAAATACAACTATACAATTGATCAAATTAGTTATCCAAAATGGCACTTAGTCAAGCAGCAGCTCTCCTCGAAAAGGTCATCGGTCATGATACCAATGCAACCACCGAACAAGACATCACCAACCCAGCACGAGATCGCCAAAAGTATGCGGATCCAAGTGGTGAGACCATGAAGGCTTTATGTTGGATGGGAAAGAATACTGTGAAGATACGTGAGTTACATACTCTTTGATCACTCACATAATCACATGCCGTACCGGAATCTAATATCCCTTTCTACAATAGTGGAAGTACCAAAACCCAGAGTAGTCGAAGACAGAGATGTGATTCTCAAAGTCACGGGTAGCACGGTCTGTGGAAGTGATCTGCATTTACTTCACGGCTCGGTTGTGGAAATGGAAAAGGGGGATATTCTAGGTCATGAATTTTGTGGCGAGGTGGAATCGATGGGGAAGGGTGTGAAGGGTTTGAAGAAAGGTGATCGTGTGGTGGCTAGTTTTCAAATTGCGTGTGGCGATTGTTACTATTGTCAGAAGAAACAATCTTCGCAGTGTGAAAAGACAAATAGTAATACGATTGAGAATGGAATGGTATGTTAATGTTATGTTTGGCCTTAGCGAAGTTGTCTGAAGGATATTACTGTAGATGGATGCTAATGAATATAGTATGGTGGGAGAACGGCGGGGATGTTTGGTTATTCGCATTTTACGGGTGGTTTTGCCGGTGGTCAGGCGGAGTATGTTCGTGTTCCTTTTGGAGATGTCAATCTTCTTAAGCTTCCACCCAATGTCCCAGATGAAAAGGGTCTTTTCTTATCAGATGTTCTCTGTACATCGTGGAATTGCGTCGTGGATACCGGCGTCGAAAAGGGAGATGTAGTGGCTATTTGGGGTGCTGGCACGTATTCCTCATCTATCTTATCACTTTATCCTGACAATATCCAGGCCCCATCGGACAAATGTGCGCCTCGTTCGCATTCATGAACGGCGCATCACGCGTCATCATGATCGACAGCAACTGGCGCTTAGAATTCGTACAATCCAAGATCCCCGAAGTCGAACTCCTCGATTTCAGCAAACTCCCCCGCGGAACCTCCGTCACCTCCAAACTCAAAGAGATGGTTCCGCGCGGACCCGATGTTGCCCTCGAATGCGTGGCCGGCGAATACGCCAAGGGCTGGGCTCATTATTTTGAGATGATGCTGGGTATGGAAACCGATACGTCGGAACTGGTCAACGAGATGATTACTTCGGTCAGGAATTTTGGAAGATGCGGTATCACGGGTGTCTATGTGGGTTTTACTAATCACTTCAATATTGGAAGTTTAATGGAGCGCGGGGTTCGTCTGATTGGTAACGGTCAGGCTCCGGTACATATGTATTGGGAGAAACTTCTCGAGATGATTGAGAAGGAGGAAATTGATCCGCTGCAAATGGTTACGCATCGGGTTTCGCTGGATGAACTTGATGATGTTTATTATATGTTTGAGAAGAAGGAGGATGGCATGCAGAAGGTTTTCGTGCAGACAAAGTTTTCGGCGCCACCGGCTCTGGGTAGTCCAAGTTTGACGACGTATAAGAAATGAGGAATGAATTGAAACGATGGATGGGATGGGATGGGATGGGATGTTCAATGAAGGTGGATGATAATGATTAATGGAGTTCTTAGCAATATGTAACATATCAATAATTGGTCAAGAAATCGGAATGTGTAATTGTAATGCGTATCGTAAAATTATCTGATTGCGAATCATCAATATTTTTTTTTAATGTTATTCTTAACATTTTTATTTTTAATATTATTTTTAATATTATTATTTTTAATAATATTTTATTATAATTATCATATTGGCCTGTTTATCCCTAGGGCCTTCCTCCACTCATAATTTGTCCGTCCAAAAACATTCAACACCCCACCTCAACTATCATCCTATATACATCAATCTTCCACTCCACTTCCCCATCCACTCCCATCACTTGCCATTTTTCCCACTACCCTCATTCCATTTCATTTCAATTCGTGCCCGTTCCTATCCACAAGTATCTCATTCACCCAACCAAGAACGTACCATCCATCTAACAAGTAGCTATCATAGTAGTCAAAGCCGCTTTCTCCTCAGTCGTAACCGTCAGGTCATATACAGATTTGACTTTAATCCACATCTTGGCGTATGTACACCAGTATGATGCTATTTTATCAGTTAGTATATTTCCATCAATTCTATCCACTTCTCCTTCATTCTCTTCACCCCTTAAACACAACATCCCAAAAAAACAAAAAAAACAAAAAAAACACAAAAAACATACCCAGCGGCGGTTTCCACGCCTCAGGTCCCCGATCCCCCTTACTCTCATTAACATTATCGGTAACAGCCAATAATTGCGGATTAACCAAATCATTAGCAAAAGCCCGTCTCTGCTCCGTCGTCCACGCAGAAGCCCCAGCCTTCCACGCATTACTCAATGGAACCATATGGTCAATATCAAGGTCCGAGGCAGCGGTCCATGTCGCGCCATCGTAAGGTGATATCCAACTTCCAGATGTAGAAGCGCAGGCGGAGTTTACGACCACGTTAGTGCCGTCCCGTTTGAGTACGGTTTCTCGTGTGTTGCAGGTGCCGGATATGGTGGACCACTAGAGGAAGGGAGGGAGGGGTGTTAGTTGGGGGGGTGGGTGTGGGTTGTGGGGTGGGGGTTGTAGGGTGTAGAGGAGTATGGTGTAGAGGAGTATGATGTAGAGGAGTAGGGGGTACGGGAGAGAGAGATTTGAGTAATATAAGGGGAGGGTGTGCATAAAAGATAGCAGGTTAAGTAAGTGGAAGCAACAAAAATACATACAGTAGGAAACAAATTCCTCGCATAACCATCCTGGCTTCCAAGTACAGCCACAGTCAAAGCAGCAAGTTCCGTCTTAGCAGCAGCAGTAGTCGGTACACCCGTTGGCGCCGGAACCGGAGTTGCGTGGACGAGAAGTCCTGTTGCTAGAATACTCAAGAGTGTGACGGGAATCATGATGAGATGAGATATGTGATGAAGATGATGAAGATTGACCGTGGTAACTACAGTAGTAGGCTTGTACAGGCTGTTGTTTCGGAGGAATGGTGAGGAAGAAAACGTGAGATGGATGGCGACTTGGAGGTTCTTATAAGTGAGGGTGAGGGTGAGCCATGTCGATTTGAATTAATGAAGAAGATATATCAAAGCATCTCCGATTTTAATTCTGGGCCTGGCGTCTTGCGAAGCGTGTTGAATTGATTACTCTACAACTCCGAACCCTTTATCAGAATAAAGCATTCACTCCCAATCAAACATTCCATGTTCGCCGATATCACACCTCCATCACACCTCATCCAGCAGCATCAGAGAGATCTTTCCCCAACCTCACTATCCATCCATCCTATCATACCAAATCGCAGCCACACGCCTATAGTTCATAATCTTCACCATGGTGTTGAACTTCCCAATGCAGGCACATAAACTCTACCAACTGCAACTCCCGATTCTTGGCTCACATAAGATTTATAGGACCCTTACTTAGGACAGGTACATTGTCCCTGAATAATTAAAGATAGAGTTGATAAGCAGTAAGTAACAAATCATATTGGCACATGGTCTTGGCTGTTAATATATAAAGACTAATGTGGAAGGTGGGGAGGTGGGGGAAGGTGCTTAGCGATGCGGATACCGCCTAATTGGTCATGTGAACTTTCACGAAGAAGGTGGGTTTGATTTGATAGTGGTTGTAGAGAAGATATAGATGAAATATATAACAATTGATAGACAAATGAAGAAGTTGATGAGAGATAGTGACATGGAAAGTAGCGTAGCCTCTACGAAAGTCAACAACTTAATCTCTCAATCCTTTTTTCAATATAACACCAAGTCAACGCCTAAAACTCGCTTCAATAATGACATCCAATTTAGTTCATCAATCTCTTTGCAACAGTGAGTTAACTATTCGATGTTTCCTTTCTCCTTCTTTGCCCTGATACTATCAGGCAGGGAACTTGATACAGCCAGCTTCTGGTAGGAAATCAATTATACCCTCCAATTGCCAGTATAACTCTAGGCTATTGTGTGCTCCTGTCGTTCTGTCTCGCTCCCATAAACTATCTTCCGAAAAGGCGACCACTACTATTCACGTTGTGAATAAGAATGATGGAGCGAGTGTGATGAGTTGCTATTGCTAATTGAAACAAATTCGCATTTTCACCATCTAATTGAAACTCCGGACCCCTCTTTCCCGGGAAGCTCAGGTCATTCATGCTAACGCTTCAATTTGCCATTACAATCGGAGATTGATTGTAAGTCTGATTGGTTGGAAGGTTGAGAGGTTGAGAGAGCTCAGTAGTGTATCTTGGATGAAACGTGGTAGTATGATTTGGATTATATCACCACTTCCTAAGTGAAAGTCACATCGAAAGAAGGTACGAGTGTCTCTCATGGGCAGGGTAGAGTGTATTTCAATAGTCCTGATTCAGGTGCAGTCTAGACCGTTTGAAAGCTCTCAATACTCGAGAAGCTGTGAGCCTCTTGAGAATAGCCATTTCCAGATATGCTCAGTATCTACTCGAGTAGAGTCAATTCAAAGATCAGGAAATATCTTCTTCTCGGACTTGCTGTCCGAATCATTGGGAATCATGGCTCTCAATACTCTACGGATTAATTGGGTATATTTGGGAATTGCGTCCGGTATTGATATTTCAAAGACTTGAGAGTAACATTACTCCAGATCAATTACTCGGGTATGTACTCAGTATGATATGATGCATAAAGTATAGCATGGTATACTGTAACATGATGTTGTAAAGTCTTTCATGGAAATGGAATCGACTTTCTGAAGTTGATATTGATATTGAGGACTAGCGTGGCTAATGACATGGCCCAAGCTCTCTCCAGCTTTTGAGGGAGGTGAACAACTTGAATTTCGGGATTCGGGATTCGGAATCACCAACAGCTTTTTTTATTTTCAATTTCGATACTTCAACAACAGAACAGATACAACATAAAGAATGATGGATGTCTTTCATGTCAAACTGTTACTTTTCTCTGGATATTGGGTGAAGGTATGAAGGTATGAACGAAGGTATAAAAGGTATAAACATACCGGTATCTGGCAACTTCGCAGACATACTATACTGTATAGACAATCCATATATGCTCACACGATATTAACCTAGGAAAGTCTCATAATTCTTTCAACCTCAATATTCATTCGATCTGCACATTATCGAATGTTTTATCGATCGCGAGCGTTTCCAATTGTCGTCAACTCGATGTTTTCTTCGATGCTTTTTACCAAGTCGTTCGGAAGTTTGCTTATACCTGAGAGAAATCTCGGCCGAGTCTGGCAGATATCATGGTTATGTGGACACACAGTCGCCATAGACAGGGCTATAAACTTTGATAAGATCAAAGAGTTACCAATCTCTATCCTCAAAGTCCACGACGTGAATCTCGCAGATTCTGGGGCTGAAATGCTCTAAGAATGGAACTCCGACAAGACAGCCTCGTTCCAGTTTTGCTTTTCTATACGAGGTACTGGTCGACCTTCCAACAAATTGAATAATTTTGAGTGCTCTGCGGGAGCAAGACGAGTCGCTGGTGTGGATTGCATGTCAAGGTCCGTATTGGATGATGATAGCAACACGGCAGTCATAACCGTCTTATTGGGAATTCCAGCATCGCATCTTTCTGCATGCCAGGTAAGCATCTACTCGATATGGATATGCGGCCGAAGTCGATCGCTATATGATAGACGATGAGGACGGATATAAAGACAGAATCGAAATATGCACCCGCACAAGAGATTTTGATTGTCAGATATCAGCAAATGAAAGCTCAGGGGAACTCCAAGCTTTGCAGCCAATTGAACAGTTGAATATTCGAACGGTGAGCCTCACGCATATTTTCCTGGATTTGAGCGGAATCTTCTGCATTTCGAACAAAAAGCGAGATTGAAGTTATTATCGTTCAATCCGGCGACATGAGTGGAATTTTTGCTGGCAAAGTGACGGGGGCGGGTGAGCGGGATTACCGGAGAGGGACTATGTTTTTCCGCCCCACAAGTTGATTGGACCAATACCCAGGGGTGTCAAGGCGTGGTGGTACGGTACTCGTACGGAACAAAAGTGTGTGTCTTTTTGAATGATTCCTTGAATTCATTTCGCTTTTTCTATTTTTCTCACCACTTTGCAGCAACGTAACAAGCTCTACGATGTCTCAATCATTCTCCCCACACTATTTTACATCTCAAATGTTACCCCCTTTACGAGAGCGATTTTCCCTGGACTCAGTGCTTCAAAAAGATCTCCATCTCACCTGTTACCTCAACTCCTCAATCCTTCTCAATGACTCTTAGAATCATTCAGGTTCCATTCGCAGGTATGACTAAGGGTATTTGTACCCTCGGTAACACTTTCAACGAATGGGGTTGCTCTTGACTGGGGTAATTTGCGGGAATAAGCTTCATAATCAGTACTATCTATTTAGGAGGCTTGATATGGGTCCTAGTCTTATCTTACACTGGCGTGGATGATCACCGCGAGGCGAGATCTTGTAATCATTCTTGGAACAGTTCTTCAAGATGTCTTGGCTTTCTTCTTTTTATTGTTTTGGTTCTCTCCTCAAAAAAGAGCTTCTTCTGCCTTTAGTCTTGGTATATGTCATCTCGACAAGTTTTTGGGTCATATTCTCAAGTCATGGACGCCTTTACTCCTGCACAGGCAAGTCATATACGTTTCAAAGCTTCAGAGACTCCAATTAACATGTTTCCCTTGGACAGACGACCGAGCTCGTCTCGCGCATCGGGGCCAAAAAAGCCCGTATGAGAATTGATAAAATGTTCATCAACTCATTCATCGGAGGAGGTCTCCTTTCTTTTGGATGTGCCCTCTCCCTCTCCACCAATGCCTCCCCATGGTTCCAAACAAATGCCCCGGGTCTCATCCGTACTATCTCTGCGATGGTTTTCCCTGTTGGTTTGATCATGGTTGTGCTTACGGGGGCGGATTTGTTTACAAGTTATTGCATGTATAGTGTGGTTGCTTTGTTACATCGTCGTTGTAGCTTTTTGGATTTGCTGAAGACATGGTTTGTGAGTTTCTTTGGAAATTTGGCGGGAGTGTTGTTTTTCATGGCGGTTCTTACCGGTTGTAAGTATTTACTCTATCACTTTGCTGGAGTAGAGTATACTAATTTGTCAAAACTAGATGGTGGCACATTCGAGTCTGGAGTATTCAAGGATGAAGCTCTTTCTTTTGCGAAAACGAAAGCAGTCATACCGGAATGGCATCAGATTTTCCTCAAGGCAATTTTGTGTACGCTGTCCTCCCTAGTATAATCTTACATCTCCACTCGGAGGTGAGCGATCGAAGAACTTTCAGCTTACAATGATACACAGGTAATTGGCTCGTCTGCCTGGCCGTTTTCCTCGCCATCTCTTCCCGCGAAGTTTTCTCCAAGATCGTTGCTATCTGGTTCCCTGTGATGTGTTTCGTCGGCTTGGGAACTGATCACGTTGTTGCTAATAGTTCGTATTCCTTTTCCTTGCCATTTCCACTTGATCAACTCTTCAGTATGGCATGTTGTGCATATGAAGAAGTTCGCCAAGCATATTTCCCCTGCCAAGTTATCGGTAGTCCTACATGTTTCAAGCCACTAACGCCTCACATCTCCAGTGTACTTTATTCCCCTCGCCATCTTCCTCAAAGCACCTCCTCCTCTCACCGTAAGCTACTATATCTGGAAATCGATGATCCCCTCCCTCCTCGGAAATATCATAGGTGGTGGCGTCTTCTGCGGTGGCGTCTACTGGTATCTTTTCCTGGCCGACGAAACGGTCCCCATTCATTTTGATACTATGGATGCCAATACGGCGGTTTATGAACAAGGTGGTCCGATTCAAAGAGAGGTTACGGCGGACGGGGCGGGGACTGGCTATGGTCTTGCGATTGCGATTGCGAATGCGAATGCGAATGCGAATGCGAATGCGCATAATAAGGATGTGGTGCCTAATTCGGGTAATAATGGGAGGAGTGGTATAGCGAGAGATTTGCATTTGGGAGTAGTGGAAGGCTTGGGGAGGAAAAAGGAGGGGTCTGAGGGCAGTAGTGGCCCTGGAAGTGTTTAGGTTGTACGCAATCATCTGTTCGGATATGCATGGTATGGATGGATGGATGGTTTGATGAGTCGATTGAATCGAACCGAATTGAATCGCAGGCTCAGGCTGTGGATAAAAGAGTGCATCGCATAAGAAAGGAGTTAAAAGAGCGGGATATGATATGATATAATATGGTTGGTGTGGTAATATTACCATTTTTGATACCAAGGGGAATGATGGATATGGGTATGGGTATGGGTGTAATGTATTGTATGGTATAGTATGTTTGGGTGGTACTTATGTGGTTTGGTGTTGATGATTTTAAAGTCGGTTTGAGTCTGAGTCTGAGTCTTTTTGTGTATATTTTATTTTACTTTGTTTTAGATTGGTATGTTTTAGATTGGTGTGTTGTATGTTATGTTGTATGTTATGTTGTATGTTTAGTTTAATAAGATGATATAGTGTGATGGGATGATTTTGGGATACACAATATGATTGAATATGATACTGTGATGTGATTTGATGTGCTATTATGTGCTATTATGTGCTATACAGTGCGAAGCTATGGATTCTCAAAGTCAAGATAATGAATGAAGAGATGATGAGATGATGAGATGGGTTGATGATAGCGATAGTACGGTTCGAAGAGAGAGAGGTACGTGGGAGTGAGAGTGAGGCTTGGGAGGGACTCAAGGAAGTTATGTTTTTTATTTATTTTGGGAGAGAGAAGAAGAAAGAAGGAAGGAAGTGGAGAGTGCAAGCGGAGAGGGGGAGGAACAGAGAGAGGGTGAGGGGGTGAAAAGGGGGGTGAAAAGTTTAAGGGACTGTTGCGATTAGCGGTGATTCTGTTTAGGGGTTGTGGATATTGATATAAATATACATATACTCGAGTAGATGTTAAGTAATGAATAGTTAAATAAATTGATTAAACGATTGCTTTTGGGCAGTAGATATTTAGAATTGTAAATGGGTGATAATCGGGTAGGGTAGGGTAGTTGTTCAAATTATGACTTCGAGCTCGAGATGATTCTTTATTCCTAGATTCTTCATTTACTAAATAGTACGACACGATACACTTGATATTTTTCACGAGTTATTTGTTCTATCCAATTTATCATATCCTATCCAAATAGACCTAAATCATAATTATAATTATAACCCAAACCATAACATCTACATCTACATCTACATCTAGAAACTCACACTAAATTATCCCCATATACTCACTCATATAATACCTCCCTCCTCCCTCCTTCCCTCCCTACATCCCTCCAACAACCCTCCAACAACACTCAAAATTCCCTCCCAGTACACAGATTATCTTTCTTCCTTTCTCCGAGCACAGCGAGTAACTTATTATACGTGTAAACCCCCAGGAAAACTACTCGACTCACTAAATCCACCCTACTACAATATAACACAACAAAAATACGCTCCGCTGGCCCTGCGGGGGCCACTGCCGTGGAGGCAGACTATACAGTTGCTATGGAATTGGAATTGGCATTGGATTTGGATTTATCACATATATAGCAGATCGTAGTACTGAGTACATGTTGATGATGATGATGATGATGAGTTTGGGTAACTTAAAGCTTACTCTTACATATTGGTATTTGGTAGAATTGTATGGATTGTATCAAGTGTATATTCAGTACTGATATTATTACATATCGAACGCCATGCAGATGCCAAATTGCCTGCTTGCATTCGTTTCACCCTGTCCCATCCCATTTCTTCCTTTTATGTATATTTTCGTTCATTTTCATATCTTCATACATGATCCCTCTAATTCACATATATTCATCCCTCCCCCCTGCCCCTCCCCCTTCCCGGACTCTCAACTCCATCTAAACCACTACCGCCTCCCTTCTCATCTTTCTCGCCGCACCACCACCACTAGCAGCATTACAAGCCGTCTCCTGCGTCTCGCACTGCGCCACCCCACCCGTCAATTCCCCACCATTAGCCGCTTTCGAACACGCATTATGTTGCACACTACACGATCTCTGCAACGCCGCTCCTTCGCCCGTAAACGTATCACCTTTAACCGTGAACGGACGATCGCCTGCTGAGGAAGTTACTGGGGGTGCAACGCCACCGAGTGTGCCCGTGAATTTTTGAACGTTGGTACCGGTTGCGGCTTTGGTTGCGGTGGTTGCGGAGACGTCAGATGAAGACCCGTTTGCAGCGGCTGCAGCAGATGTGATCGTGCTACTAGCTGCCGCGGCGCTTGCTTCACCGGTAGAAGTAGTAGTAACTGCTGAAGTAGAGTCTGCCGAAGCTCCTCCTGCAACAGCTGCTGTGATTTCAGCGGCGGTAGCATCGTCCACAATAAGATTTTGTGAAAAGATACAACCCGGGGAATCTGCCTCAGTATCGCAGGAATTACCGGCACCGGTTGTATCACCAACGGTTCCTGGTGCAAATGTACCCGAAAGAAGAGCTTCTTGAGGATCAGCTCCAATAGCAGAAAGTTGTTTGGCGAGTGAGAGAACAACAGCTTTATTGGTAGCAGCAGCGTTTGGTGAAGCAGGGTCTTGATGTTGTTTAACGGCTTGAATCTCGGTATTGACGGCGGTCTCGTTGCAAATCACAGATGCAACACCAACTGATGCAGTGTTTCTTTCAAGTGCAGCATACATCAATGCATCAGCCATACCGGTGACATTTTTAGCAGCTTTGGCATTGGTGAAAGCTTGATCGGCAGTAGCTTGATGAAGACAATCGGGATTGGCGATGCTTCCACCTCCCTTTATGGCGGCAGCGTTACCCAGGAGACCAAAGACTGGATCTTGAATTTTATCTGGATTGTTGATTTTCAAGTTGACACGAACACCATCGAGGAATCGATTGTGGGAATGCTCTTGTGGAACTTCACGACCTCTCAACATTCGATTTGGTACCGATGGGACATTGAACTTGTTCTTTGGCTCTGCGATAGGAGCAGTAGATGCCAAGCCGAGAATGGCGAAAAGAACAGTTGCAGTTTCGTACTTCATGATGATGATGATGATGATGATGATGATGTTGATAATTTAAATTTATAATGATAGATATTCGAAAGTCGTAAATAGATAATAATTGTCTTAACAGGTGTAAAAATAAGGACCGGCCTAATTTGAATTGAATTTGATTGTAGGAGTCAAAATTTAAGAGAGCGTATAGAAGTTGAAGTTCTCGGAACTTAACAAGAAGAGAATGTAGATAGAGCTGAAAGAAAGGCGGCGAATGCGATGAAGAATAAGTAGATGAACTTGATAGCTTGCCAGTTCTTATATCTTGAATCGTCAACGCTTACGGTATTAGTCAATCAAGGATAGATCAAACGAACATCAGGCAAAACGTCTTTTCACCACCACCCTGAGTTTCCACACTTGTGATTTCTTTTTACCGTTCCTTAGATCATACAGGGAGAAGGACAATGAGAACAAGGTCAAGGATTTAAAATCTCGTCTGATGAATCTTGCTAGTTGAAGCAAGCGCCATAATAAAAGCGTTGAGTAAATGTCCTACCTGTCAGAGTATACCATATGCGTCTGAAGTCCAGATGAGATTTCGGCCGCGTGTCTGACATTCCTGATATAGATACTAATAGTCTCAGATCATGATACAAGACCCTCTAACGGGCCATTTTGACAACCATCCGGGGTCCAAATTGACATATCTGAAGAGATGAGATGAATCATAACAAGACACTAGCCTCAAAACAATGGTCCCCTCGCAAAGTTGGGACATCGAATGCATGATGATCGCCTTAACCGTCTCATCGAACCCCAGCCATTTAATTCGCACGAAAATTCGCGATTGGATGAATTGATATCATGGCGTTGACATGGGACGAGCCTTGTCGCAGAATTAAGATCTGATTCCAAGCGATGTCTCCAAGCCCTGTTTGGGGTAATCACACGTGATCCATTTCAACCTATTTTGATTTCTTTGGCCGTTTAACACGATAACCTTGCATTTTATCTGACTTTTTGATGTTGCAGAGTTCAGATGCAACCGGTAATGAAACTCATCAATCGCGGCCATCTTGGAATATAATATGGATAGGGCAGTGCTCTTAATCTATCTGAAGTTTATCGGATGGGAACGTCTGGACTCTGGACTCTGGACTCTGGAAATCAATCGCGGCTAATCCTCCTTTCTTTACCCAATATGCTACCCAGTATGTTTGTTAGTGCAACAGAGATAGCGGGGAGAAAAGAAGGTAGATTAATTTCAATCTATTCTTATTTTTAAGCTTCATCATTGGAGTCTCGTTGGTCTCGTAGGCTCGTTATATATATATATACTCGAGTTGTAAGATCTGATAAGATTTCCCCGGCGAGCCTGGAATTTATTTATACATTCTTTCGTTCTTCCGAAAATAGATTCACGAGAAGAGTATTACCTTCAACCCATAAGCATCACATCATAGCGTACAAAGGATTAGATGTAGCTCATCATCCTTTTGATCCTCAATCCCCAAAGAATACTTCAGCTGCTCTAATCTCAATAACCAAATCAACCCAATCAAAGAGCTTGAATAGAAAGAGAACTATTTATCCAGTTCATATCAGATATATATACATTACTCGAATATTGGTGACTTCTTAAGCTACTCGAGTAATAGTTCAATACCATCATAACAAAGGTTGTGAAGATCTCGCAAGGATCTCTCTCACTTACAAGTTCAAACAATGTATTAATGACATCATGGATTTTCTACTTTGTTGTTATACCGGGAAATCTGGGAATTCGATTTCCTCTATCACCGGTATATCAAAACCCGATCCATACTATCAAAGTGTAGTGTTAGTGTAGGGCAGATTCAATGGTATTGGTACTGTTTGTTTAGCAGTGATGGTCGCCATTATCCAGATTGATCTTTCTAATTGACTAGATTTATATTGTGTTTTTGATTCATATCAAGTATCTACTAGATTGTGAGATGAGAAGAGCATTTCTATTTTTATTCAATCCATCCATATGATAGAATACATCGATCGAATACTCACGTTTCAATCCCATTGTCATATTTCTATTGTTTTGTGCACCTAACTTTATACCTTACCGTGGCGATATATATCGGTACTCAAAGTCTGCATCTGATACTTAGATTGAGTGAGGGGACGTCTCAAAATGGCAAGCGATCAAGAGGAAAAGGGAAAGGAGCAGGATACCCGTCCTGTTGGATTCTGGGATCGTGAATTAAATACTGTTAGGAAAGAAGTTTTAAAGAAATGGGCCATTACAAGTTAGTATTCGAGTCCTCCTCACCCAGCTTCATTATATACCACCAATGGGTGTCGCCGTACGAATTGGATTTAAAGTCGGATCTCTACACTGGCGACGATAATCCCGCAATATCTGTTTGTATAATAGTATACGTTGGAATCGGTGAATGCAACTCAGAGGATTGAATGATCCAATACAGATCAGATCAGATCAGACCAGACAATGGAATTATCCAATCCAGGTTTACAATGGAATTGTCTCTCAAGTTCGATCAGACAACAACAGCCCAGGAATCATTGACTTCGTCGGACAATAATAGATGATTCAACAGAGATCAGACAATCAGACCATACATACAATAGCTAACCAAACCCCCCTCAGCTCTCATCCTCTCCACATTCATCCTTGCGATCCTCTCTCTCTACTGGGGCGCCCTCTTCCGCGTCGAGCAAAACATGTCATCACTAGTCGTCTGGGTAGTAGATTTCGACGGGCAAATTGCACCATATACAGATACAACACCAATAATTGGACCGCAAATTGTGAGCGCAGCCGAGGCCTTGATTGCTCCAAGTGGTTCTGTAGGATGGGGAAGTTTACCCGCGAGCCATTTCAATTATGATCCCATGGAGGTGAGGAAAGCTGTGTATAATTTCAAGGCTTGGGCTGTAAGTTTTTTCTCTCTTTTGTGTCGCCAGTGAGGAGGAGCTTGAACTGGACTAAGCGAACGGGGAAAAACAGTCAATAACCTTACTAACTACAATACACCTACCATCCAGGCCATAATAATCAACGCGAACGCCACCGCCCTCCTCCAAAACGCAGTACAGAATGGAAACACCACATTCGACCCCATGGGCATCGCCCAAACCATATACGTACAAGCCCGCGACGAAACCACCCACGCCAACTACATCACCCCACAACTCCTCGCCTTCCAATCCCACATCACCAGCACCATCGGCTCCAACTGGACCTCCCAAGTGCTCTCCCAAGCCGCTACCAATCCCTCGATCCTCACGAATTTGCGCACCACCCCCCAGGCCCTCTCCCCGGCTATCGGTTTCTCCACCTACAACCTACGACCTTTTTTCCCACCCGTCGCTACACCCGCTGTGAGCATCGGTCTTATCTACCTAATCATCATATCCTTCTTCTCCTTCTCCTTCTACCTGCCCGTACACACTAAATACATAACCCCCCAAGGCCATCGCCCCATGCATTTCTACCAACTAATTCTCTGGCGCTGGCTTGCAACCATCATCGCCTATTTCTTCCTATCCCTCTTCTACTCCCTCATCTCCCTGGCCTTCCAAATCCCCTTTTCATCAGGCCATAAAAATATTTCGCTCCCGGCGAATCCGGCAACGGCCTATGGAAAGGGTACGTTTGTCGTTTATTGGATGCTGAATTGGGTGGGGATGGCAGCGCTAGGTTTGGCGTGTGAAAATGTTACGATGGTGGTGGGACAGCCGTGGACGGCTTTCTGGTTGGTGTTTTGGGTTATTACGAATGTTTCGACGAGTTTTTATTTGATTGATTTGGCGCCCGGGTTTTATGGTTGGGGGTATGCGTGGCCGTTGCATAATAGTAAGTTCAGATTTTCTTCTCCGTGGTCATATCTATCTCATTCGAACTGTCCGTTCCTATATCGTATATATGTAACCAGAGCCAGCTAACGAGATAATCAATAGTTGTAGAAGCAAGTAGACAACTTCTCTTTGATCTTCATTCGCGTATAGGTCTTAATTTCGGGGTGTTATTTGTATGGGTGGCAATTAACACGGCGTTGTTTCCGGTGTGTTGTTATTTTATGAGGTGGAATACGTTGAAGGGGGAAGAGAAAACGATGGATAAGAGGGGGAATGCTAAGGAGGATTTGTGAGTTATTTAGGTTGTTTCAGAGATTAAACACATTGAGAGATTTAGCTCATCTGAGAGATTGTCCCTCAAAACTCTATAACATTATATTCATCCATGACATCCAACCTTTCCATCCAAAACATCACTTCAACCTTTTCAGCCATTTACCCATCCATCCACAAATCACAATACAATACTCACACCACCTCACCAGCACAAGCAACCTTGATTAATCAAACCCCTTGATCTAAATCCAAATCCTCCAAGTTCTCACCCATCCAATACATACACATACATACATACACTTGAGACAAGAAGAGATAAACATCATCATGATACTAATATATACTCCGAGTTCTTCAATCTTTGCTCTTACAATTGATTGTCTGATAGTATAGTTTAAATGTATACAACTGAGTTGATACCGATGTTTCTTTAATCATCTTGTACACATGATTCAAATACTACTCGAGAAAGACTGACTGAGCAGATTAAACATCAAGATATTGAGAATCTGTCTACACTTGTTCACATGCAATGCCATGATAGCCTCATTGAATTTTGTTTGCATTTGCTATCATAATATTTACTATCCTCTTCCAACCCATCTTGTAAAAAGAAATCAAGATATTGTACCATCCCATCCTCTCCAACAGAGTAATGTTGATCACCAACCATAGTCGTTTTCTTCCTAAATTCATCATAATAATACTATTTTTTGTAATCCGCCATCCAGTGAGACGCTCCCATTCATAAATATCAGTCCTTTAAAAAACTGCTCAATGCTGTACTTTCGTAATCGCTACGCAACAAAAATGCGGAAGCAAAATGTAATATGCCACTATAATCAATACCAACAAGCTTTTTCATGTATTTCGACCATCAGATATCGTTGTAACGAAGAAAATAAAATTCAAAGTGGTCAAATGTAAAAAAGATAACCTCGATCCGTCGTTCATGCAAGTAACTCAACATCCAGTCCGATAGAACGCATGAAGAGGTTTACATTTGCAAGTTTTTGGCTAGACATGGCGGGAGGTAATGTCTTCGCAAGTCCAACGGTTTCCATGACACGATCCTTGACAGCCATAACGAGTCGTTGTTGTTGCTCGGGACTAGCACCGATACCAATGGCGGCAAGGAATTGCCAGACGTATACGTCCTCGCCAGTGTTGACGGTACCAGGGAAAATTTCTGGAAGTGTGGGCTCAAGGGCATCAAAAAATGCATTGTGAGTGGATAACCTGAAGATCGTGTTAGAATTATACAAAGTAATTTGAAATATATGCTCACCAATCATTCCATCCACGTTCGTCAACATCTCCAGCCTGCTTGGTAATCTCAGCCCGACTGAGAATCATGGTCAGTAGGCTAAGACCGATTCTGGTGCGAGCAATCAAATCGATGTTCAGATTAAGGATAAGACCCAAAACACCAGTAGTAATTTGAAAGTCGGCGTCGTGAAGGAATCCAAAGAGGCTTGACATAACTGTCACCTGAAATAAGTCGATATTTTCTCGAGTATCGGCACTAAGCTGGATTCCATCAGGGCTAGGCACAGCTAATCGAACGACATCGAGTTTATCGAGGTGAAGAATAATCATGGTTAGTATAGTAGCACGTTGCTCATCACTGATATGTCTGAAGACTCGAGGAATCGCCTTCTTGCCCTTGTTAAATGAAAGAAATGCGATGAAAGGGTGAACAGTAGTTGCACCGATCGGCTCATGGATTCTCAAATTTCGCCATAATTGCTTGTTGAGAAAGTCTTGTCGTTCACTCCAGTCTTGGCCCAAGCCAGCGATTTGTGGGTTGATCTCTTCCGGAGCCAGTGTTCTGGGCTTTGAGCGTTCATGATCTTCCAACTCCATCAATGTATTATACACATTCTCGATGTCAGTCAATACGACTTTTCTATTGCTACCGCTAACACTTGCGAGATTGGCCTTGCGAGGATTAGGGGAGTTTCCTGGTCGTGCCTCATTGCTATCGGTTCGCTTGATGTTCAATAGAGGTTTAGGAGTCTTTGCGTTGCTGAATGAAATCTTTCCCAAACTTCCCTCAATTACCAATTGCTTATTCTTTGGCTTATTCTTCGCTGCTTCAACTGCTCGTTGCACTTGTTGCTCCATACGTTGTACATGATTATCGCCACCACGAGCTTGTCTTCGCATACTGCCCTGGCGGTTACCGGTTTGAAACAGATATGTCTGCGCAAAATTGCTCAAAGGCTGATGTGGGTTTTGACGAGGTCCACCTCGAATTTGGTTGTGAACCTGGTAATAGAAATCCTCGGAAAGAGAGGAATCTATACCATGTTCATTGGGATTTCCAGTAGCGGTAACCAATTGCTGCAACTGAATACGGGTAATGAAGTTCTTGTCTTGGGGTGTCATCAAGCCATTATCCTTGGATAACAAAAATATTTTATGATTTCGCTTTGCTCTCTTGGCATCTTCCAACACGAATGCGGCTTTCTCTTCCTCAGATAGATTTAACATTTGTTGCGGGTGAGTAATGACATGTCGATTTCCGGAAGCATGGGGGTTCTGATGACCTCGTTGCACACCATGAGATTGACCGGGAAATCTGTTCATGTTCTGCATGTGTGCCGGTTGAGATGGGATAGAAGGAACATTAGCCTGGCTATTTGGGACTTGGGGACGTTGCAAGATATGAATTTGTTGATCGATAGGAAGCTGGCGTTGTTCCGACTGGGGTGGAGCACCAACTTGGGCTGGCAATTGTTGTTGCTGTTGTTGCTGTTGCTGTTGCTGTTGCTGTTGCTGTTGCTGTTGCTGTTGCTGTTGCTGTTGCGGAGCCTGTTGGTGGAAGTTCTGGTACTGCTGAGGTGGGGGTTGTTGGTACTGTGGTTGGGATGGTGTCATTGGCTGTTGATGAACAGGTACTTGAGGCTGCGAAGGCTTCTTGGCTTCAGCTCGCATGGCTGCTTCAACTTCCTCTAAACTCATCATCTTTCGGCTCGGCGCAGATGCACCAGTAACGGGAGGAGTGGCGGTCATAGGGGGAGCGTGTTTCGGTGCAACACCCCAAAGATTCGCATCAACTTGCATATCAGGAACATATTCCGGCTCTTGGTATCGCTCATAGCCAGTTCTAGCAGGTCTTGACATAGGTTGTTGGGAGAAGGTAGATACGGTTGGAGTTGTCCTAGAAATTACTGGTTGTTGTCGAGTGTATCGCATTTGTTCCTCATTGATAGCATCGGAGACTTTTGCGGTTTGTCCAAAAAAATCAAAGTCCTTTCCAACTGGCTTGCTTGCAATAGAATTGCTCTCACCACCACCACCAAATGTATCATTGTTGAAATCATCACCGGTCTCTTGAAGCTGATCTCCTAAACCATCATATGTATCTTCGAAATCGAACCTGCGGGGTAGATAAGTTAGCCTTTGGTCTCCAATGGAAACAGGGAAGAAGGATTTGTGATTAGCTTACGCTTCATTATTATTTCCTGAGCCAGAAAGACTTGCAAATGGATCTGCATGTTGACCAAAACCTGGAGCAGCAGTATCATGACCCCTCTCGTGAGGAGGTTGACTGGGATCAAATCCAAAGAAAGACATGATAGAAGATATCGCAAAGTCAAAGTAACTTATTGTCCATCAAGATACGGAAAACAAGGAAGATTTTGAACGTGTGCAGGTATTTTTGATTGCAAATCCAAAGATTTAATTTTGAATCCTGATGAAAAGTTTAGATCGGGAAGGATAATACAGGTGCTCCAAAGCTTTGATGAAACAAAATTGTTATTGTGAGTGATATGTAAGAATTTGAATAAGTACAACAAGTACAAGAGTGAGAGATTGTTTTTTTTTGATATGTCGGTGGGATGGTTGAGGGTGACGAGACGGGAAGAAGGTGGAGGTGGAGGGTTGGAGGAGGTGGAGGGTTGGAGGAGGTATTGCTAGATGAGAATGAAGCTAATACTCGAGTAAGAGCTTCAAAATTTAAGTGTAGCGGGTTGGTGGGAACTTTGATAGAGGCGTAGATTTGGATACTATAGTCTCTTATCCAAATCTTGGAAATGCTGAGATAGCTTCCAAGATTCCAATGAGTCAAAGATAGCAAAGAGATTCTATTATATTTATATTTGTATTAGGTTTTATAGTTTCTAGTTTCTTGATATGAGTGAAGGTTGAGGTAAGGTGTGGTGTACGGAGCAGATGGGTAGATGGGTTGCTGGTGGGGTAAAAGAAGAAAGAAAATCGGTAACCTTGCCTTGCCTCTACTCTAGCCTTGCTCTCTCTAGCCTTGCGATTGGAATATACTATTAGTACTGTAGAACCCCCTCTAAAAGACATCAATTTGACGGTATAGGAGTGTTATTATTGATTGAACCGGATTCGAAAGCAGCTTTCATTTGGGTGTCATATCTGAATTAAAATCTTATCTAATTGATTATATATTCAATTTCAAAACTTGTACCCTTTGAGGTCTACTCACATTTTAGCATTCCATATCCGAGGTGTATATACAATGATACAAGAGAACATCAATAATTGTTTATCAAAACCCTCCAAAAAGTATATCAAAGTCTTTGGCTTCTTCATCAACTTCACATTTGTATCAAAACCATATTCTATCGATTTCATATTGAAATCTATACAGAGTAACATAATACTCCCTTCCCCCTCTCAGCTCTCCTCTCGTATTCTTCCATTTGCCCAGATGGATGAAAACTTTATCCGGGGGAAGCTAACTGAATACCCAAAGCAAGAGAAACTCATCCCTTTCCCTTCCTCCCTTCCTCCATTCCTCCCTTGCGTAAGCTTTCCACAAATCTTACAAGGATAATCTGGCCTAGAACCAAATCTCACTCGAACTTTGGACACTTTTTTTGGCTACCGACAACGATTACACGAGAAAGACTGACCTCCTTTATTCACATTTACATGTACCTACCTACATTAATCAACTTCCTCTTTTTTTTTTCTCCAACTTATCTTGATCGTGTGTGTGTCTTTAATATATTGCACATTTCTTCTTCATCTTCTCTTCTCATTTCAATCTGCAACTCAATTGGTTTGATGCTAAAGTAGTCTGGGGGAGGTGGTAATTGCTTAAAAGCCCATCCGTGTCCAATTGGGTAGTGACATAACTGTTGGATTTACGAAAAGAAGCATCATCCAAAGTTTCAAATCTTCTACATAATAAATCTATCTCATCATGGCTACAGGAACAGCCAGATATTTGAGATATATTCTCTTTGCTTTCTTTGTAAGTATCTTGACCCTTATTCCGAGCAATAACAGAACATAACGTCTCTTGCTTCCATTTACTAATGTTTCCCTCTCTCCGTAGGGTCTTGCCATCGTATACTTTATCTCATCTTCATCAGACCAAAGAATCCAAACTGCGCAGCAAGTTTTTACAGAGAAAACTGGTATCCCTACCAAGGCGGGCACTGCACAATCAGGTCACTCTGCTGATGATTCGACGTCATCCCCTGCGAGCACTTCTCCAAATACTCATGATCTTCCACCTGCAACCATCTCCGGGGAGCGAATGAATGCGACATTTGTTACCTTGGCAAGAAATTCGGACATCTGGGAAATTGCACGATCCATTCGTCAAGTGGAGGATAGATTCAACAAGAAGTTCGGTTACGATTGGGTTTTCCTCAACGACAAGCCATTCGATGCCACATTTAAAAAGGTCACTGCATCCCTTGTTTCCGGAAAGACTCACTATGGAGTGATACCAGAGAAACACTGGTCATTCCCCGATCATATTGATACCGACAAGGCTCGCAAGGTCCGTGAAGATATGGCACAAAGAAAGATCATCTACGGTGATTCTGTCAGTTACCGTCACATGTGTCGCTTCGAATCTGGTTTCTTTTTCCAACAAGAATTGATGTTGAACTACGAATGGTACTGGAGAGTCGAGCCATCCATTGAGCTTTTCTGCGATATCAATTACGATGCATTCAAATTTATGGCCGACAACAAGAAGAAGTACAGTTTCGTCTTGAGTCTTTACGAATATGTTGAAACTATCCCAACTTTGTGGGATAGTGTCAAGAAGTTCATCAAGAACCATCCAGAGCACATCGCTGAAGGCAACTCAATGGGCTTCCTCAGTGATGATGGTGGTGAATCTTATAATCACTGCCACATGGTACGTTTTGGTCATACGTGATGAGTCGCGTGGTTCTATACTAACACAGTGTTACAGTGGTCTAACTTCGAGATTGGTAACCTAAACTGGCTCCGATCAAAAGCTTACACGGATTACTTTGAGCAACTCGACCAAGATGGAGGTTTCTTCTACGAACGTTGGGGTGATGCACCAGTTCATTCCATCGCTGCAGGTCTTCTCTTGAAGAAGGAAGAGATTCATTTCTTTAACGATATTGCCTATTACCATGTACCTTTCACCCATTGTCCAACAGGAGAGCAAACAAGACTCGACTTGAAGTGTCACTGCAATCCAAAGGATAACTTTGACTGGAAAGGATACTCATGTAAGCTTCTCCGTTTCTCTCAAAAATTAACATTGTACTAACAATCCACTAGGCACATCAAGGTTCTTTGATATCAATAAGATGGAAAAGCCAGAAGGCTATGAGAATCAACAAGACTAAGTTCATAGTCCATACTTAATTTCGTATTCGTGTTCGAATGCCTTGTCTGAGGAGCAGCATTGGCGGTTTGGAGATTGAGGACATTTAATATCTGGCATGATAGGAAAGGGGGCATGGGCGTTTACATGGGGGTAAAAATCCAATTGATACGCTGTATATGTTAAAACGGTCCGGCTTGGGATCTGGCTTGGGAAGTGATGCCTCTTGTTTTTCATCGGGAGGTAGGCAAATTTTGAGATAGATTTTATACAATAAGGCTATATTTGCATATTGAAAGAATGAATAAATATCTTTTCTGTAAGACACATGAACCAATGATTATTAATTAGTAGGAATAGAATGGGATGTTGTGTTTTTCGCCAACGAGTCAACCCCTTCATCAGCCTCCAGAGTGGTTGAGCCACACCACGTGATGTCACCAGCCACAGTGACTATACGCCTTGGCAATATCGAAAGCTTTCTCTCTCCTCACCTTCTCGTCGTCGATGAACTCAATTGTTCAACGATAACCGCACTCACCAGTCCCAATGGCCGTCTCAATATTTCAGCGATTTGTAATGCCGTCCATACGGTCAACCACATCAACCCCTACCTCTCGCCCCACCGCACAATCCGTCACCAATCATCTCAAATCAATCACAATCTCCTCTTCGCGGGCATTCTCCTCCTCCCCCTCTCAATCCGCAACATACAATCAAGTTCGCCATGGATGTCGTACTGCACAAGCTGCGCGTAAATCCGTCTCCCCTGCGCTTTCCACGGTTCGGGCTCCAGCGCTCAAGGGTGTAGCATTGAAAGTCGGAATCACCAAACCAAAGAAACCTAACTCGGCAGAACGGAAAACGGCAAGAGTTAGATTGAGTACGGGGAGAGTGGTTACGTGTTATATTCCGGGGGAGGGACATAATGTGCAACAGCATAGTGTGGTGCTTGTTAGAGGGGGGAGGAGTCAAGATTGTCCGGGTGTGAGATATCATTTGGTTAGAGGGGCGGGAGATTTGGTGAGTGGATTTATGTTTGATTTGGGCATCTGGGGAGGGGGAGGAATGAGATCCCGATCTAATTCGCCAAGGGGACTGGCATGAAATGGGAGGAATAGAGGAAGAGATCATGAACTTTTGAATGCTTATGCTAACACATTTGCTTTCACAGGGAGGAGTAGGAAATAGAGCAACGTCAAGATCGAAATACGGAACGAAGAAACCAAAGAAGACGACTGCATAAGGGTGTTGACCTAGGATCAGTCAGAGACAAAAGGCGTAATATGGAGAAACCATTCGCTCACGAAAGGATTAGAGAACGGACGATGATATATCGAGCGCGAGAAGAACTAGCCACTGGAATACTGGGGCATTGAGAACAGCCTTTCTGGTGATATTACAGATTTTACAGCTCCGTGGTCAAGAAATAACGTGGACAATTGTACTATACACAAAATTCAACGAGCTATGCAAAAAGGATGAGACCAAGTACTCAAAGGAAGACGTCGGGTGTTTTATTACCAAGAGGACTTTAATCAAGTACTGGGGAATATCTTCATTCTGCTCAGTGGGCCAGTAGAATATACAGCTCCCGTGGCCTGCGAGGTAGCTCAATCCTATGCATAAATTTAATCATCTTGGTTTGTGCAACTTTTGAATACTTATTATTTCACTCACATCCACCGAAAAGCTACTTTGGCAGAAGGTTTGAAAAATGACATTCATCGGGACATCGCTCCGCGACCAAAATCAAGTAGCGCTTCGGTTCGGACAAACTTATTTTCTTTTTGACTATATTTTCTCATACAAGAATGTGAAGCTATACCACAAGTGTGTCTATATGCGTCCGTCCGAATGATCCGGTTGGTGCGCAAGATCTCAACCCATTTCTCCACCAAGATGAACGGGTTTTGAAGATTCTGGCGTTCATTTTTTTTACATTTCATGAAGTATGTAATCCGGGGCACCCTCGGTCGGGAAAATGTTGTTGCTTTTAGCCAAGTGAAGTGCTCCGATATAATAAGGAATATGGTTGGCTGTAAAGGCGGAGTTGACGATCGTTTACATTCTTACCCCGCATGTTGTGGTTCGGAGTCGAGCTGTTCAATGTGCCTATGCCTGGGGATACTTGGCATATGTGATGATTTTGGGTAAAATTTATTCTCTGATGCAATACTATGCAGTACTTGCATGGGGGTGTTGGAAGGCTGTTATTCGGAGAATGTCATGCAGATTGGAGAGGGGAAGGAATGGCGAAAGTGGGTGAAGTAACTTGTGATCATAGGTATTGTATATAAAGGGTTACTTCCAATAGATATTAAAATTGTTTCTGTCTGATTGAAACACTACAATTCCAATTGAGTTGTTGCAATCATGAGGTTTCTACGTGCTTTCACGGCAATTGCTTGTGCAGCTCAAGCTGTAGCTTTGTCGATTAATATTGGTGGAGAGCAAATGGTTGTTGAGAGAGACGATGGACTTCAGAATGTTGTAAGTTTTGGCACTCATTCATATCCTTCCAAGGGTCAATTGATGATCAATCGAGTTCTTAATGGCTGTTGCAAAAGCTAATCCAATAGGTCACATATGATGAACACTCCTTGAAGGTATACGGAGAACGCATATTCGTCTTCGCAGGAGAATTTCATCCATATCGACTTCCAGTTCCAGATCTATGGGTCGATATTTTCCAGAAAGTAAAATCACTTGGTTTCAACACAATTTCCTTTTATGTTCATTGGGCTTTGCTGGAAGGGAATCCGGGACACTACACTGCAGATGGGGTCTTTGCTTTTGAACCTTTCTTTGAAGCGGCAAAGGAAGCGGGTATATATCTTATTGCTCGTCCAGGTCCGGTTAGTCTATATCCCTTCATCCGCCCCGCTCCCATCTAGTCCTAACGAAGCCAATCTACAGTACATCAATGCCGAATCCTCTGGCGGTGGTTTCCCTGGCTGGCTTCAACGCATAAAAGGTGTTCTACGCTCTCGAGCACCAGACTATCTCGCAGCAACCGATAACTATATTGCAAATATAGCTACTCTAATCGCCAAATATGAAATCACAAAAGGGGGACCCATTATTCTGTATCAACCTGAAAACGAGTACTCGGGATTTCTTGGATATGTTCCAGGCGGATGGCCAGATCCTGAGTATTTTGCTTATGTGAAGAAACAGGCGCGAGATGCTGGAGTTACGGTACCATTTATCAGCAATGATGCTTGTAAGTTCTTCTTCTATTCTTTGAAGTCTTGGGATATAAGTGTGGGAATGAAGGAGATCATGATGTTGGTAGCGAGCCCAGAGCTGATAAGAAATAGTTGCAGGAGGACTTTTCGCACCAGGTGAAGTTGTCAATGGAACAACCATTGGAGATGTTGATATATATGGTCATGATTCTTACCCATTGGGTTTCGATTGCGCACATCCAACTACCTGGCCTTCTGGAAATTTACCAACTTCTTTTGCGGCGACTCATGAAGTACAAAGCCCCAGCACATTCTATTCAATAAATGAGTTCCAAGGTGGGGCTTTTGATCCTTGGGGTGGCCTGGTGAGTTTCTATCTCTGAGGAGATCACATTTGGTAGAAATGCTCTTGCTAAATTGACGTAGGGATTCCAAGCATGTGCTCAACTCTTGAACGAGCAATTTGAGAGAGTCTTTTTCAAGAATGACTTTGCTTCGGGTGTTGGTCTTTTGAGCATATATATGATATGTAAGTTTTGATTCGCATGGCGCATGATCATATGCTGACAGCTTCCCAGACGGTGGTACTAATTGGGGAAATCTTGGCCATGCTGGTAAGTCACAAAGTCTTTCTTATAACTAGTCAATGCTCACATTCCCTAGGTGGTTACACTTCATACGATTACGGTGCTGCTATCTCCGAGAACCGTGAAGTAGACCGCGAAAAGTACAGTGAACTCAAGATAGAAGCCAACTTCTTGAAAGTTAGCCCTGCATATCTCACCACAACCGTTGGAGCCGCTGTCACTAGTACTTATACCAGCAGTAACACCATTGTCACCACTCCACTCTTCGGGAATGGAACAGTTACAAACTTTTATGTTGTTCGCCATTCAGACTATCAGACTTTAGCTGCGGCAACCTATAAGTTGACTGTGGCTACTAGTCAAGGCGCTCTCACCATTCCTCAATTAAATGGAAGTCTCACTCTTAGTGGAAGAGATTCGAAATGGCATGTAACTGACTATGATCTTGGAGGAACAACACTTCTCTACTCCACAGCAGAAATCTTCACCTGGAAGAAATTCGATAGTAAGACTGTTTTGGTCGTTTATGGTGGACCAGGAGAATTGCATGAATTGGCTATAGTTACGAAGAGCTCAGCAACAATTGTTGAGGGTAAGGGTGTGACAACGAAGAGTACTAACGGCACAACGATTCTTAACTGGCAAACATCTTCGACACGTAGAGTTGTTAAGGTTGGTAGTGTGTTTGTTTATATTTTGGATCGGAATAGTGCGTACAATTATTGGGTGGCAGACTTTGTGAGAAATGATAAATGGGGTGCATTGTAAGTTTTCTATTCCATTCCAATCCTACTTCTGTGATTGGCACTCACATAAAACTAGCTCAACAAGTATCGACAAGACATCTTCCGTCATCGTAGAAGCTGGTTATCTCGTCCGAACCGTTTCTACCCAAGGTTCAGATCTTCATATCACCGGTGATCTCAACGCTACAGTTCCATTTAAAGTCATTGGCGCGCCTAAAGGAACCAAAAATCTCTACTTCAACTCCCAAAAGATTTCGTACAAAACCGATTCTACAACCGGTGAACTCTCTTCAACACTCACCTACACGGCGCCCAAGATATCTCTCCCAGACCTCTCAACTCTCAACTGGAAATACCTCGACAATCTCCCCGAAATAAAATCCACCTACGACGACTCGGCCTGGACTCTCGCCAACAAAACCTCCACCAATAACCCCTTCCTCAATCCCCTCCTCACCCCCACCGTCCTCAATGGTCCAGACTACGGCTACAGCACCGGCGTCCTCATTTTCCGCGGCCACTTCATCTCCACCGGCAACGAATCCTCCCTCTCCCTCACCACTCAAGGCGGTTCCGCCTTTGGATCCTCCGTCTGGCTCAACTCCACCTACATAGGATCCTGGACCGGCGCCGACTACGCCGAATCCAAAACCACCACCCACATCCTCCCAAACCTCACCGCCGGATCCAAATACACCTTCACAATCCTAATAGACAACAACGGCCTCGACGAAAACTGGACCGTCGGCGTCGAGGAAATGAAATCGCCTCGCGGTATCCTCAAATATTCCCTAGTAGGCAGACCTCAAAATGCAATTACATGGAAACTCACAGGTAATCTCGGCGGCGAACAATACATAGATCAAGTTCGCGGTCCGCTCAATGAAGGCGGTTTATATGCAGAGAGACAAGGGCTCACGCAGCCCGATCCTCCGATAAATGATAAATCGTACGCCTGGAGTGAGAAATCTCCTATTGAGGGTATTAAGAGTGCGGGCGTAGGCTTCTACACGAGTACCTTTGTGTTGGATCTGCCGAAGGGGTATGATGTTCCGCTGAGTTTCAATTTTGGAAATTCGACGGGCGGGAATGGGACAACGGAGACGAGTGCTTATAGAGTGCAGCTTTGGGTTAATGGTTGGCAGTTTGGTAAATATGTTAATAATGTTGGACCGCAGAGGAGTTTTCCGGTGCCGCAGGGTATGTTTTCTTTTCTTCCCCTTCTCTTCTCAATATCTTTACGTTACTTCTCCTATCCCATCGCCTCCTTTTCCTCCCCTCCTCTTCCACCCATCTTTCCTCCCCCCCCTCTCCCCCTTCTATCCCTCCTCCTCCCTCCCCTCCCTTCCATCCCCAACCCCAAACCCCTCTCAACCCCCAACTAATCCCCTCTCAACCCCCAACTAATCCCCCCTCCCCACCAAACAGGCATCCTAAACTACAACGGCCAAAACACCCTAGCAATCGAACTCTGGGCCCAACAAGCTTCAGGCGCCGCTCTCACCAATTTTACTTTGACGGCTGGAATACCTGTGCTAACAAGTTTGAAAGCGCCGGCTTTGGTGGTTAGTCCGGGGTGGAAGGTTAGGGTGGGGGGGTATTAGGATTTTGGGATATTGGGATATTGGGTGAGGGGATGAGGGGATATGATGGGGGGGGAGGGGGGAGGAGAGGAGGAGAAGAAGGGAATGAAAAGGGGGAAAGAGGGGGAAAAGAAGGGGAAAAGAAGGGGAAAGAGGGGGAGAGGTAGGTAGGTAGGTAGGTAGGTAGGTAGGTATAAGGTACATATATATATACACACATGAGTATCGAAAACTACATAACTCATTTATAATCTTACCGGGTAAATCCACGTATTGGTGTATACATCATGCCAAAAATATACAGTAAAACATGTATCGACTAATCATCTGGGTAATTGGTATCAATATTGAGTTTCTAGCTGGCTCTGCTGCCCAATTGCTATATATCCATAGAAAAATGAGACTGTGAATCAAGACCATGCTTCGCGGCTGATCATTATTGTAAAGCTTTTTCTAGCTTGTTCATTTTAACTGATATATTACCAGTACAGTTTCGTATCATAATGTACAAAATCTACAACAAGATTCGATAATTTGTACAATTCCTCCTCATCCTCCAGCCAGATGATCATGATCCGAGGGAAAATTCTATGAACGTCGTATTATAAGAGTGAAGATAGCTCCTACTACCACGGCTCCAAAAGTGGCACTTTCTAATGCTATGATCGTTATCTCCTTTTTTGGTATCGATATCTGTCGTGTACTCCATAAGTCTATTGTTGCGGCTTTCCCGGCTTCCATTCTTTCTTTCCAGGATTCTATGTTTCGATAATCGAATGCGGGCTTTTCGTATGGTATGTGCATTTCTACAGTCTCCATTGCTGCCGCTGCTTCGCCAATTTCTTGGGCTGGTTCGTTATTTGATTCGTGATGTGGTGTTTCGCCTTCAATTGCAGCTGCCGCTGCTTCCACCGCGAGTTCGTCCAGGGTTTCATCTGCGACTTCCTCCTCTAATTCCTGTATGCTAGTGGCAACAATCTCATCCAAGCTGACTTCTGATCCCTCTCCTCCACCGATTTCCGCACCTCGAATAGCTGTGGACATGGTCAAAGTTTTCTGGTTGTCTAATGCCTCTCTCACTTTCTCCTCAAACCCTGCGACCAATCTCCTTCTTCTCCATGGTTCAAATCCAAATTGAAATACCAAAAATAATAGGACATTCACCCCCATCAATCCCCATGTCCCCCATGTACTCATTCTCCGGATTTTGTCACTCCAAATCTGTTCCTCGTGGTATCGTGATAATATACTACTACTCAATTCCCCTGCAGCTTTCTCTGCTTCACGTTCCGCGTCCGCGAGTCGCGTAGCTGCTTCCTGAACTGCCTGCTCATTTGTATGGTCCATACGATATAGATGTGTGAAACGTTCGAGGTCGGCAGCCGACCATGTATCTTTCCTTGCTAGTAAAGTTGTAACCTCACGTTGAGAAGAAGCACGATCTGCGACGGTGGTTTTATAGTGTAGTCGGGTACTTCGGACTGATTCTTTGGAATTGGAAACTTGTGTTTCGAGATCAGTGATTTTGGTCTTGAGGGCTTCAATTCCCGAGTAGCCTGTAAGGTCATTGATGCGTTGAGATGCTATAAATATGTTGCCTTGCATATGGTCCATTAGATGAGAGAGTTTCTTCGTGGCAGCGAGACGTCGGCTTTCAAGGGCGGAAGGAAGCTCCCCTTCTTTCTTATGTTTGGGAGAGGGTAAGGCATCTTGTTCATTGAGCTCTGGGCTGGGAGTAGGTATCTCTTCGGGTGGTGGTTGAGGTTCTTCGGGGGGTGCAACTGTAACCTTGGGTCGAAGATGAGGAGGGATTTCTATAATAGGTCTTTGGTCGTCTGCAAAGTGCCGCCGCAGACTGGGGGAATATATTCTATATTGTAGACAGATTGATGATTTGACTGAAGGTCGAGGAGAGATTCGTAGGGTTCTTGATATTGAGGCTGAACCTGAGTCGATTGCGAACCTAGGGATGAGTCTTGTCAATGGTTGCATGGCAATTAACAATTGACTTCCTCTTCTTGTTGAGAAATTAATGTCGAGCTTAGGACTTTTATCTTTCTCTTTCTCTTTCCCTGACTCGATTGAGAGAATTATTCCTTAAGATGGTCGAGCCCAATGGGGTAGAGCTCTGGCCAAATTGATAGAAAAATGATGATGTTGTGGGCTCTGGTAGGCCCTGTAACTCACCGCCTTTATGATGATGATAGAGGGGCAACTCGGGGCACTTGAATCTTGTAAATAAATTTATGAACCCCCACCATAGAAAAGGGTAGGTAAGGAGGTATTTATATACTTCTACACTTTCAATACTTACAATATTCATACATATAATTTGTTTAGAATAGAACACCTTTAGATATCCTTATTTATTGACTAAATATATCAGTGTAAGTTTAAAGTTCCAACAAAAACGAAACAATGGCGCCTCTTTCCATATCCATCTCAACTTCCTTCTTTCCACCCTATCTCCCAAATCACATCTCACATCTCACATCTTCACATCTTCACATCTTCACATCTTCACAACTTCACAACAGTCAACATTCAACAGCTATCACTAACAATACCACCTAGACTTTCATCACACGTTCAAAATCTTCAAAATGGGTTCAACTACTACTCTCCCCGCTATGAAAACCTCCCCTAAATACATCTTCTTCACCGATTTCGATGGCACAATTACAACCCGCGATTCCAACGATTTCATGACTGATAACCTTGGATTTGGAGAAGAACTCCGCAAACAAGGAAACAAAGATGTTCTCGATGATACAAAGACCTTCCGTGATTCATTCCAAACAATGATGGATAGTATCAAGACTCCATATAGCAAGTGTATAGAGACTCTTATCCAGAACATCAAGTTGGATCCAGGTTTCAAGGAATTTTTTGAATGGGCGAGGGAGAACAACATTCCAGTTGTTATTTTGAGTGGTGGAATGGAACCAATCATTAGAGCATTGTTGGTGCATCTTTTGGGAGAGAAGGAAGCTGCAGAGATTCAGATTGTCAGTAACCAAGTTGAGGTTCGGGAAGGATTCAAGAGTCTTGATGATGAGGGAGGCTGGAATATTGTGTATCATGACGAAAGGTATATTCATGATCCGAACAAAGATATCGGACATAGAGCTAATGATTTCAATAGTCATTTTGGACATGATAAATCCCTAGAGATTAGACCATACGCCGAACTTCCAGATGATCAAAGACCAACCATGTTTTATGCTGGAGATGGAGTATCAGATCTTTCTGCTGCCAAGGAGACTGATCTTTTGTTCGCCAAAAAGGGTCATCATCTCATAACATATTGTGTCAGAGAAAAGGTCCCATTCACAATCTTCGAAGATTGGACCTATATCTTATCAACGGTCAAGGATGTTGTCGCTGGAAAAACAACTGTTAAAGAAGTCTACGCTGCTGGCATCAAGGATTTCGAACAGGGGGGAAATAAGGCATAGTCTACATTTGACTTACACTTTTGTCCATAGAACATAGACAGATCATAGAAACATAAAGATGCGCATAGAGATACTCAATTTGCTTTTCCCTGGGCATACTCTCTTACCAAATCGGGGTCTTTCTTTGATATTCCTTTTCGGATTCTGACATTGAAACTGCTAACGAATGAGACTACTGAGTATAGTGATCGTTTATCTATTGGCTAACATTTTGCTGTCTATCCTTTCATTTCCTAGGTCTATAAACCATTTGCACGAGCTCCTGTTTCTCATAATCGCCCTCAACTACTAGATCAACCCTTCCAATCTCCTCAAATCCACAAGCAAGATATGTCGGTTCCCCCATTGGACTCGCCGATAAAGAAAGTGGTGCATTATCACGTTCGGCTCTCTCAATTCCCCATCTCAATAATTGACTAGCATAACCTCGACGCCTGTAGGTTGGATGAGTGCCCATCAAGTTAAGATAGAGGTCGTTCCCTTCAAACATCTCAGAATATTTCTTTCGTGCCCCCAAAACACATTTCAGGAAAGCTGCATCATAAATTGGGTTCTTGTCTTTGCGATTATTTACTCCTGCTGCTTCCATTGCTGCGTTGGCTTGACGAGGTTAGATACAGAGTTCTTGAGCCGAAAGAGGGAGACGTACGTGTAAGGGTAACATATTCTTGTCCCTTAGCTGCATATATACGCCTGTTCGCATATGAAATATTCCATATAGACAAAGCAGCAACGTTCCAGATTGAATCTTCTTCGACTTCCAGAATCATAGTTAGATAGTCTGGAAAAGATCCGGAAACCATGAGCTCGATATAAAGTCGAGTATATTTTATATGATCGTCGGGATATTCTTCACGATAGAGATATCGATATCGCCACATAGTATCAGAGGCGAATGAGGCAAGCATTGCTGTTGTGATGGCATCAATATCTTTGGGTTCCGCTTGACGAATGCGTGATTTCGCAAAGACTGTGGTTGGAGAAGCTGCCATCTTTAGAGCCAGGACGTTTAGCTATCTCACCAATGTAAATGTAAAAGAACAGATGAGACAAGTGAGACTGTCGGGATTATTGAAGACTTCATTATTGTAACATTATGTAGGTCTGGAAGCAAGTCATTCAACAAGCTGACATGTTGGGGACATATGACTTATCTATCTATACCTTGTTCATCCCACTTCTGATTTCTGATATCTAAGCATATGGGGTAATCGGGTAGATTGTGGTTTCACTACCGGTATTTGTATTTTGATGTACAAAGAAAGTATCTAGAAAGACTAAACCGATGTTACTGTACTTAAGAGTTCTGACCCCAGAAGCCATGGCTTGATATAAAAATCCTTACTAAAATGTATGAACTTGAGGAACAAATCCATCCATAAGGCTTGTAGTGTGGTAGTAAACTCTTGCAATGTAGTCAATGTGCCTTAAAACTATGTACGGAGTACTCATTGTGCGGAGCTCGAACTTTGAAGGATACCAGTAGATGAATGGAAATTCAATCTACGAGTCGTATATCCAGGTCGGCAGGTTTATCCATTTTGACAACCCCGTTCTAAAGTAACCTTTCCTGACGTCCGAGCTGAAGCATTCTTCAGTAGCCTCAATCTACTGAGGACCACTTGGTTTAATATTCATCGTTGTACGAGTACTCAGGTAACTCGATGTTCATTCATTCCAGAAAGGATATCTGCGGAAAAGGAAGGTTTACCGATACCATAAGTGCGGGGTAGCTTCTCCCCCAACGTTTCAACCATTCTCTTGAAGACTAAATTCCTGAATACACAAACATCTTTCGACAACGAACCTCTAATTTCATGACTCGTTCCATATGGTAAGACTTGGAAGTTAAGATATGTAGGAAGGTCTACCGGAAAGAGGAGTTTTTCTTGTGGCCCAACTATCATTTTGAACATATAAGTATTCATCACCTTATAACTTTTGATATACATATTATTCTACATATTCAACTAATACTCACCCACATAAACACGTCACAATGGGAAGTATTGAAGTTGAAACACCTATACCCTCGTCTCAACGTGTTGAACCTGGCTCATTCCAATTACGACTGGCCAACCTACCTGAATCTACAGCTGCGAGATCTATCGATGCCACAAAAGTAGCTTCGGACTTCATTGATCGTTTCAACCAGATAGTCGACTCTGTTGACATTGAATCTCTCTCTACACTTTTTGTAGAAGAATCATACTGGCGCGATCAATTATGTCTTTCCTGGGACTTCCACACTTTACACGGTCCCTCCAAAATTCTTGATCTCTTCAACAAAACAAAAGGTTCACGCTTGAAGTCTATTGCACTTGATTTAAGCTCAGCATTTCGATCTCCCAAATTAACACCTCTTGATGTCGATGGGAAGACAAATGTTGTGCAGGCTTTCATCACAGTTGAGACGGATGTAGGTAAAGGTGCTGGAATTGCCAGACTAGTACATGATCAAGGAACGTGGAAAGTCTTTACACTCTATACTTTCTTGGAAGATCTGAATGGTTATGAAGAGACTGTAGGGAAAAAGAGACCTTATGGTGTAAAACATGGGGAAAAGACAGAGAGGGAGAATTGGTTGGACAAAAGGAATATTGAGAAGGATTTAGGAAATGGCAGTGAGCCAACGGTGTTGATTCTTGGTAAGTTGTGTAATTAAAGAGTATGGGAAGTTTGTGTAAGATACTGATATTTTATAGGTGCCGGACAAGGTGGCTTAACAATAGCAGCAAGACTAAAAATGCTTGGTGTTCAATCTCTCATGGTTGATCGGGAAGAACGAATCGGAGACAATTGGCGTACAAGATATCATCAATTGGTACTTCATGATCCTGTTTGGTTTGATCATCTTCCATATTTACCATTTCCTGCACATTGGCCAGTTTTCACACCCAAGGATAAATTAGGTGATTGGTTCGAAGCATACGTTAGTTTGTTGGAACTGAATGCTTGGACTCAAACTACTATTACGAATACTTCATGGAGTGACGAAAAGAAAGAATGGACGGTCACTCTGGAGAGAATGAGGAATGGGCAGAAGGAGACAAGGATTGTTCATCCGAAGGTATGTCGCTCTGCGATTATCTCATGGACTGCTACTAATTTTCTATAGCATATAATACAGGCAACTGGTGCTAGTGGAGAACCAAATTTCCCTTATCATATCAAAGGAATCGATACGTTCAAAGGTCGAGTCATGCATTCATCCAAATATCCTGGAGCCACTGATTCTCGAGGTCAAAACAAAAAGGCAATCGTGGTTGGCTGTTGTAATTCTGGTCATGATATTGCTCAAGATTTATACGAACATGGATACGAAGTTACAATTGTTCAAAGATCAACTACATATGTCGTTTCCTCGGAGACAAGTGCCGATTCACAAGCAGATCTTTATGGTGAGAATGGTATCCCAACTCTTGATGCCGATATGATCTTTCACAGTATGCCGTATCCGGTTCTTAAGAAGTTGAACGTTGAGGGTACAAAGAAGGTCAATAAGATTGATGAGAAATTACTTCAAGGTCTTGAGAAGGCAGGTTTCAAACTTGATAAAGGGCCAGATGATTCGGGTCTTTGGATTAAATATCTTCAACGTGGTGGTGGATATTATCTTGACGTTGGATGTTCTCAACTCATCATTGATGGAAAAATTAAAGTCAAACAAGGTCAAGAAATTAAGAGTATTCAGGAAAATGCCGTGGAATTCGCAGATGGATCGATAATGGAAGCGGACGAAATTATATTTGCAACGGGTTACTTGAATATGAGAACGCAATGTCGGAAGATATTTGGAGAAGAAGTGGCGGATAGAGTAAAGGATGTTTGGGGATTCGATGAAGAGGGAGAGGTTAGAACTATTTGGAGGAAGACTGGTCATGAGGGATTTTGGTTCGTGGGTGGGAATTTGGCTTTGTGTAGATGGCAGAGTAAGAGGTTGGCATTGTTGATTAAGGGATTAGTGGAGGATATTACGAAGTATGAAGATATTTGAGTAGATCTTAAGGCGATGGTGATGGCGACGGCGATCGGATATATAATGGGTTTTGTAGTTTTATTTGAATGAAATGAGATATCAAGGTAACTTGAGAATGATAAGAATGACTTGTTAATGACCTCGAACTTTTCAGTTGTATAACTTGATTATTCAATGTTCGGATCTACCTCTGCTGCAATATATATAGTCATACCATACAAACCTATTATTGATATACAAGGAATTATTAGCCCAAAAGATACACTAAGATGAAGCGACCGTAGGAATATAAGGAGATAACAATATGATATTTTCGTTCAATCGATCGAGTCAATTAATCAACCATTTGTTTGAATACTCGAGTAGTAGATACTGAGTAGATATAGTATGTGATCTTTTGAAATAGTTGCTTGATAATTAACCCGTCTATGCAACTCATTCGCCGTTTGTAATATAAGTTCCCGTAAATTCCCCTGCCAAGCCGAACAATATCCGAGCTACAGTACGGGCCGGCTCCACCCGCATTCAAATTTTCAGCCAACAACCCCGCCCATATCCGCCATATACACTAATACTTTTGCCACGCCAATATAGATCTAAAATCGGCACTATCTCCTATCAAATAACATAACCAGGTCGCCTAGCTCAGCTGGTTAGAGCGTGGTGCTAATATCTTCTGTTCAATTAGAATCAGATAGATTCAACGCCAAGGTCGCGGGTTCGATCCCCGTGGTGATCAATTGTCTTTTTTGTCTTTCTGTTTTTTGTGTTTAGAATAAATAATCCATAATACCGGTAGTTCAAATATTCTGAGATGTGAGATGTGAGATGTTGAAGTTGGGGTTGTTGGGGTTGCTTGGGTAAGGTGGTGTAGTCGAGGTTTACGGAGGTGAATACATGACTCTAGAACCTCGATTTGTTTTGGTTTATTTTTTGCTATTTGAAATGAGAAGTAGAATTAATTGTTCATTCCTTCACGAGTACAGTATCGTAATTATCAATTGGACGGCGTGGTGGTGGGGTGAAAAATGAAGGGGCTGGTTTTTGAGGCTAAGCGAACCCCGCTGATGGCTCCGATAATACCGATAAGGTTCCCGTGGCCAATATCGCAACATGCCTACGAGGAGCAATTCCCTACATCCGATATCTTCATCTCAGCAACTCGAGACGGTACAATTTACTATATCCTTCCATTGGCATGAGTGAGGATAAATATGACTTTTTTAAAGGAGAGGAGAGGATATATATACGAAATCGACAGGATATGGTAGTTTCTCCTTAGGCTTAGGAGAGGAGGGGAGTTTGAGAACGCTGGAACGCTAAGCACTAATTAAGGTATAAGGCTGCTTGATATGTAAATCGCGAGAGGTAGATGACATTGCATGTCGGACTCTGTAAAGAGGTGGTTATGAAGATATATTTTTACGATAAATTTAAAGTCCGGATATGACTTTAGAATTCTATACTTAACAATTTGATGGTAGGTAGTGATAGCCGGCAACAACAATGAATCGAAGGTCATAGAAGCAATTATGAATGGGATTGGCACGCTTCGCCATGGCATTGTTACTGGAACAATTTGATATTACTGTATCCTGCTACATGCGGTACTAATAATATCACTCCTCTGGACTCTACTACAGCTCTGGATGTTTTGAGAAACCTCAAAATTTGCATGACCTCCACTTGTTCAAGTTCCTCGCTCCAATTAGCTATTTCACCCCGCGTTGAAACTATACAACAAGATTCCATCTGGTTTCATATGGTGATGTTACAAAGTAGGTATTAGTGTAGCTATCATATTTTTTTTATCATGTATTGCACATCCAAATAATTCAAAAGCTCAATCGTAGGCGATGGTAGTAAAATTGTTCACACGAACTCGAATCTTAGCTGGGTTATTGGCTCCTTCCGAAAGTTCAACTTAGTCACTTCCACTAGGTCAACACAAAGCACCACGGTAACTGGCGTGAGTGCTTTCCAAACAACACGATAATCACTGATATAACGGGCTACACACCGCGGACGGAGTTTACTGTATCCTTGAAACAGCATTACCGGAGGCAATGGAAGCTAATATTGGAGCAATTGTGTTCGAAAGTCTGACGGAGATGGAAAAACCAAATATCTCGAGATCGATCCAGACACAAGCGTCGTCACAGCCCTAAATGGTTGTTGGGAAGAATGAAGATTGCAAACGGTCTTCTGTGCTATTTCAAAGCCTAGACTACTGGCATGAACTTGCCTTGTTTTGGTTAGATGAAAAACGCCTAACACGTTGACCTTAGGTTCCCGCTCCCGCGTTAGGTCTCCACCACAACACCCACTACAACCAAGAAAACTCTGACTCACCGCTCCACTGGATCACTTGTCTTTTGCAGCAGCGTCAAAATCTAAAATAGCTTCGCTTCTAATATATCAAATAACAGGCCTGATAGTTCAGTGGTAGAATTCTTGCTTTGGGTTGCTAAATCTAAAATGTAAGAGGTCTCCGGTTCAATCCCGGATTAGGCCCGGTTCAATATCCTTTTGCCATTGCGGATGCTATTCCTTTGGTCAGGGAGGGAATGTGTATAAATTTTTGGCCTTCTAGATATTTCAAGGCTCGGAACTTATCAATCACCTTGGGCGGCGGTCATTCTACTCTTCAGTAAAGTGAATGGTGAGTGGGGGTAGTGAGTATCCGTCCTTCAGTGGTCATACTCCACTACAGCGGAACCATAGCGTGGAGTGGATGGATCAGAAGAGTGAATCAGATACAAGTCGAGGACAAGCAAACCTCACTTAATTTATTTTTGTGAAAATATTGAAATCTTATTTCACTACTAGATAGACCTTTTTAAGGTGATTCTAATAATATAACGAAAAGTAATAATAGTAACTAGTATCAGGAAGAGTCTCAAAATCTCATAAGTAGTTTTATAAAGTTCCATCTATGATAATAGTACTAGTCGGACTTCAAAAAGATCAATGCTACTCTAATAGACGATTTCATTCCCGCACATGGTAAGTTCATGTGAACCGCCTTAATTGTAAATTGTATCAAATCAAGCAAATACGCTTCAAATAAACAGGCATGTTGCCAGAGTGGTTAATGGGTAAGACTTGAATGAATAATTCGGTTATCTTATGGTTTCGGCCTCGTAGGTTCAAATCCTGCACATGTCGTTTTATTTCGATTTTTTTTGCTGGTTTTTTTATGCGAGGGCTCTCCACGAATTCCCATGTAACCTCCAAACCACTATTTCGTAGTCCCTTATCTTAAGAGGGGAATATAAAAGATTTGATCACTGCGAGATTTCAGATCATAAGAGGGAATAATTAATCTCCAACAAGTTCTACCTCTCTTTTTTTGATGGGGTGAGTGGGTAGGTAAGGTAGCAGCAGCAGGTCATTATAAAATTCACCCCTCCCCACCTCCATCTAAAAGAAACTTCAACCCACCACGAAACCCACCACAACTTTCTCAATTCTCTACTATATTCGACTATTTCTTGATCAAAATAACCCCCAGAAGTAGAAGCAAACGGCAAAAGAATAATTGATCACCACGGGGATCGAACCCGCGACCTTGGCGTTTGCATATTACTGAATGAACAGATGATATTAGCACCACGCTCTAACCAGCTGAGCTAGGCGACCTGATTAGATCAGTTGTTATTTGATGGAAGGAGCAGTGCGAGAAGCGTCTACATAGGAAGAATGGGGACTGGTGAGATGAAGGAGTAGAAAAGGGGAGATTGGGTATGGGTATGGATATGGGTGGTGGGGATTGGGATTGGATTGGAATGGGTATGGGTGGTGTTGAGTAAGTGATAGGGAAAGGAAATGGTAGCTGCGATGGAATAGAATTGGCTTCTGTATTTCGATCTCAAGTATCGAGACATGATATCAAGCCGAGTTTGAGATATAGACAATTAGATTCCTCACTAGAAAGAAAACAAAGATTGATGGAAAGAGCCTGAGATTCATACTGTGATTTATGATAAGAGGGTAATGTCCATTTTTGATTAGCTGCTACTGCAGCGATAATATCAATAACAAATATGCATGCTTCCTCGTATACAATAAAGAAAGGATGTTCTTTCAGGTGGAGCCTCAAAAAAGTAAAGAGTAATCCCAAAAAACACTCCAAAATTCAGATTCGTATACTCATACCCTTTCCAATTCGATCCCAAATTTATACGTTCGTGTAGTCCCTTACGCGCCAATGTGATTCCTTTCACCCAGTCTCATACCATGAGAATGAAAGCAAAGTGACACTTTCACTTTTTTGCCTTCCTACCAGCCTTCTTAGGCTCTACCTTTTCCTTCTCTTCCTTTGGTGCTGCGTTTTTAGATTTCTTCGCAGCAGGCTTTTCTTCTTTCTCGACCTCTTCATCATCCTCATCAGCAGGTTCATCGGCAACGATCTTTCTCTTATCTGTAACAGCCTCTTCTGACCTTTCCTGTTGTCGAGCGCTAATTCTTGTTCCTTGCCTTGGTTCCTTCTTTGGTTTCGCAGCCTTTTTCGCGGTAGGACTTCCTTTAGGTCTACCTCTGCCTTTCTTTTCATCATCCCCCTTCTTCTCCACTACCTTATCCTGCGCTTTATCACCGTCGGTTTCTTCGACATCATCATCATTTTCCTTCTCGGCATCTTTCAACTCAGAAGACTTCTCAGCTTCGGTTTTCTTCTCGGGTAATCCTTTCTTCGGTTTATCTTTGGAGCCAGCTTCGTTCTCGTAATCGCCTCCTTCAGCTTCGTATTCTTTTCCGATTTTATTGGCCTGAGAAGCGGTACCGAGTCAGTAAATGGGTGGTGGCGCAAGTAGACATAGAGATGGTAAAGGAAATGGAGAAGGCTCCGTCATATTTGTTGTTCTGGGCTTAGATCACCTACCTTCCATGCAGCCATCTTTCCTTTACCGCTACCATCTTTATTCGGTTGTTGCTTGACTTCTAAACCTGATATTAAGAACGGATCGATGACAACTAGAGTTGGGGGAGATTTCAAAGGGGTACGAAGAGGAAAATGGAAATGAATTTGCTGACTTTCAGTAATATCTTCCTTGAGTTTTGGGTCAGTTGGTTTTCCTTTAGCAGAAGGCATGTTTGCGATAGTGGTGGTATGAATCCAAACTTTGGGATAGAGGAATTGTCGGTGATAACGCGTGATGAATGGGAATGGAATGCGCATGTAATATTCGTGACTTTGATTAGAAAAGAGAGGGAAAGAAAGAAGTGTCAAACAACGGGAGATTGTGGATAATCGTTTTAATAAAATACTCCAAGCCTGGGAAAGGACGAGGTTGGGAAGAGGGGGAATCCAATGTCGTCAGTGTATCGCGCCTGCAGGGGGATAAAAATAGGGGCTGAATATAGGCATTTAACAGCGCTATACGCACATATCTAAGTAAGTACGTAAGTACTCGAGTAAGTAACACAGTTGTGCGTGATTCCTTTCAGTTAACTACAACTTGTATGAAAATCTTCATAACGAGAGGTATGGGAGGTATGGGAGGAATGGGAGGAAGGGTTTACTAGTAACTCAAATGATTGATCTAATAAGAACAATGGAGTTTATGAACATTCGCAGATGGATGGACTACTTTAACAAAACCTAGCAACTTCGGTTCTACATTCCCTCCTTGATTTCAATTCTTACTTATTTCACAATACTTCAATTCTTGACTAATGCGAATATCATGAGATTTGAGCACACCAGATGAATCTTCGGATTCGGACTCTCCTCCTACACCTCAAATGTCCAAGATCAATCACTCGATTCTCTTGGTAAGGAACCATGGTCATCGAATTCCTGTCAGCTATGTTCCTCAAGTGAGACATTCTGCCTCGATTTAAAATAGTTCTTCTAGAGACGGCAACGGTGATGTGAGCTACTCGCATACACGGAAATGATTTGAAGTGGTATGTCGAAGCTCGTTGAGATACTATGAGCACGAGACTGTTTTCCAGATCTACGGCTTCTTTTCTCCTCACTCTGCTTGGTATGGACGAACTAGAATGTTGCGGTGAAAAAGTGGTCAGATATCTTGACTGGAACCCATCAGAAATGGTTGTGTTAGAGCTGAGCATTTTGGGTACGGTTGTTTTGACGGCGGCATCGGAGGAAAATGGAGAATGGAGATTTACGGCGAGAGAAGTTGTCAGGCATATGAAATGCAATGGATTTATTGGCTATACAAAGATTGGGAATGACTTCCCTTACAAAGTCATCATCTACTAGATGTTCAAGTCCGAGAGTGGCTTGAACATTAGTTCGATATCAGTTCGTTCAGTGCGTTACCTGATACACTCAAACTCGAGAAGCTATCTATAGCCGGTCCCATTGGATCTGCCTTTTAAATCTTTGACGACAATGTAAGAATTCATCCCATATCAACTAAGCAAATCCTATTGTACAAGGGACTATGACTATGACTATGACTATAGCTGTAGCTATGGCAAGAGTATGCGATGAGACTATCAGATCATAAACGCAATTTCTAATGCCTCGGCTTGACGCGTCTCCAACAAACACTTCTACGACGCGTTCAAGATTTTGGTCTACATGCACCACTTTCTTTTCTAGACAATTCTAATAAATAATATACCTTCCATTTTTCTAGGGAGCTCTTCCTAAATAGAGTCCCAGTAAGAATCAAGAAGATGGCGCACCATCTTAAATCCGAGTCCGCGAAGAAAAGGATGTCGACGGTCAAAATCTTAAAGGAAAAGCCAAGTTACGAAGAGTAGGTTCCCTCAATGATCTTACATGCCAATATTACGTTATACCTTAAAGAATCAAACGCTAACAAACTCCTACAGCATGCTAGATAGTCCTATAATAGATCTCTACATAGGTCCTAAACGCAAAAAATTCAGCATCCACCGCGGACTCCTCTGCGCCAAATCCCCCTTCTTCGCAGATATCTTTCTAAACAACGATGAGCTCAGCGAAGAGAAAGAAGATCACCATCTACCCAAGATTAGCTCGGAACATTTCTCCATCATCATGAAATGGTTATATCGCGGTACGCTAGACACGGGGTTTGAAAAAGAAGGGAATAAACCAAGTTGTGCAGCGATAGAGGTTTATGCATTGGCGCACCAGTTGGGTATGACAGAGATGATGGATAGGGTTTTATCTGGGCTAGGAAGAAGATATGTGGAGAAGAGGTTTACGCCGAATGTTTTTGCCATTGAGTTGGCGTTTGAGTTGACGGAACCTCTGGGGCCAAAGGATCGGGATTGTGGATTGAGGAGGTGGATGGCGAGGTGGTATGCTATCATGCTACTTTTTCCAGATGGAGTTTCCTCGACGGCTGGACATGGTATCTCGGAAGATAGTCTGGCTGATTTGGGGCTAAGGTTTCCGTCTTTATACCGGAGTGTGGTTGGGATCTTGAGAGGGGCAGAAGGATGGAAAGATGTTAGGACGAAATTTTATGAGGAGAAGGTTTGTGCTTTTCATGGGCATGAAGCTGGGGACAGAAGCTGTGAGGATGTTGGGAAATTTTGGGGCATCTTCAGAAGTAAGGAAACGGAGGCTGGGTGGATGTCAGTGAGTAGAGCGGGCATTTAGGGGGGAATATTCCAATGGGTTAGTTTTTGAAGGCGCATTGGGGGGAAGGTTATGGCACATATATTAATGAGCGTCGTGTTCATTTGATGTTTCGAATACTGGATATATTCCAAAAAATAAGATACCCTTTTCTTTCAAATCAGTTGTCTAGTTCTGGAGCAGGTTACATATACATATATGAGTAGCTATTCCTGATATGCATCACCTCGACGTTTGTAGCTAGCTCGACGACCGGGACAATATTGCCTTTCCATCAATGAAAACGTGGATTGTAATCACTGGTGATTGAATTTCACCTCTCAATTTAAATTGAGCTACTGTTTGTTTTAAGGACAGTATGAAAGATCTTCATCAATCAAGAACACACAATTTCATAAAATCATCCTTCATTATAGTGGAAACCTTGGTCTATGCACAGGTTCATCATCCCACCAATATGGACTGCACAAACGCAACTGATATCAATCCCAAGCACCGTGAAGAGGGGAGAATTTCGCAGTCGCAGTAACAGCACCAAATCAAAGCATCTTCATGTCGTAACATTTAGAAACCGAACACTCCTCGCCTACTAGCCACTCCTGATAGTTGTGATCCCATGAAAATCATGCGCCTTCCCAATCCTTCACTTCTCAATCTCCCCATTACTTCTTGGCTGGCTGCTTAGTCTCGAAAAGGTACGAGCTCAAGTAATAATCTCCAGTCGCCAAAACACCCACAAGACCAGCCCACACACCCACAACCTTCCATGTCAAGTCCCCTTTAGCGTACTTTTGATATGCTCCGAAACCTAAACCAGCGCTTAATACCGCAACCGCAATCGCATTTCCAATTATTACTGGGTTATGACGGTTCTCTTCAACAAGGCTCTTGTTTTTCTTTGATTTCTTGGCAGAAACATCCTTGGCGGATCGGATCTTGGCCTCAATTTGTTCGGCTTCTTGCTCGAGACGATTGGCTTGTGTCTCGGTTTGGATTGGTTGTGACTGGAAGTCTGAGGGAACGGTGTGCACGGAGTCGGTGTCGACGTCAATTAAGGAGGAGGTAGAGGTACTTTCGGTAGGGATGACGGATGGTGGGGCAGGGGCACGTTTCTGTGGTGGGATGATTAGTTCTTGACCTGAATGAGTAGTAAATATTGTCCGAGGTAGAAGATATTCCTTTGATGACGATGAGAAAGGAGACACCGGAGAGAGAATATAAAGTATATAGAGCCAAGGGGGGAGGGGGAAGGGGAGGGGGAGATTAACGTACCTCCTCATCAGTCTGTTGTGGACCTGAAGCTGCTGCTTGTGCGTACGACATCTTGTCTTGTATGATTTATATGTTATCAAGGATAAGATATGGGTATAGAATTTAGGTGTGTTGTCGAGGAGAGGGATATCAAGATGTTATTCTAGTGATGAGAAATTGATCAAATAGAATGAATGAATGGATGAACAATAAAAAAGTCGTGTGAGAACAAGGAAGCATGTGAGAGAGAAACCGGGAAGATTTCAATGGGTGTGGCTGAAGCTGGATCTTTTCGCTTAGACGACTTTAGAGGGGAGATCTCATTTGTTGACGTAGGCGGCTCAATGATAATGGAAGTGAATTTACTCAAAGTGGATCTAGATGTTGGGTAAAGTATCAACAATGAGTAAAGTAAAAGGAGTGATATAAAAGTATATATCACCTTGAGTTGTTGAAAAATGTACAATGTTAATGGTTTTTGTAATCTATGTCAAGTGAGTGAGTGAGTGAGTGTACGAGTAGATAGATATATATACAAGGACAGGATAAAAACGTTTTGAGTCTGAGAACAAAGAATCACATCTCAAAGACCATAACCCGTGAACCCATCAGAGTAAGATTCAAACTATCATGAGATGCGTGTTTATATATATATCCATAGTTATGTATACAATTAATGAGAATGTTCAAGCTTTTTGTCTTTTATTACACCTAGTACAATACAATTATAGTCTCTAGGACTTATTTCTTTGACGTAGCATTATGATCAGCCCTTGGTACTAACTCTCCTCCCTCATCCCCTGAATTTTGTGTTGATTGAGGTGTGGTACTGCTTTCACCATCCCGATATCTCTCTTGCGTTGCCTTCGATTTTGGCTCGGTAGCTTTTTGTGTCGTCGGCGTTAATGATTGCGAAGGTTTCTCTTCTGTCTCTTTTGAAACCGGAGCTTTTTGCGTCGATGGGTTTGTCGGTTCATCAGATCCTTCATCAGATCCTTTTGCCGCCTCTCTAGCTCGGAGTTCCTCCTCTACCTCGGCTTCATCATCCTCCAATTCCGATGCATACATCTCTGGATGTTCCCGGAAGCAGTCTTGCATTCCCCTAAACATTATTAGTCTGGAAAATCCCCAAGACTTCAAATCCGCGAACTTACTTGAACTTTTCTATACATTCAACCCCCTTTGGCTCCTCCTTTGAGTGAACAAAACAACTGAAAGCAGCTCTAAACTCTGGTCCACAAGGTCCATCTGCCATACCTCCTAGACAAGGGCAACCCCAATTGATTTCGCCGGTTTCCGGGTTAAATGCACCTTGTTGACCAGCTTCTTCCTCTAATCCTTCCATCTCCCCTTCCTCCCCATTTTCATCTTCTGCGACAACTGCTTTCGCGGCGGATTCGTGTTCTCTATTCTCTTGTTCTGCTGCGGCTTGTGCTTGTCGCTTTCGTTTTTCTTCAACTACTGCATCGATCGTGGGTAATTCTGATTCTCGAACTCTGTGTATGGATTCTTCTAGTTTTTGAATTGCTGTCATGCCAATCAGCATCTCCTTGCGATTCACCCCCTAGCTCCAGCATTCTCATACCTTCGGGTTCCTCGGCGAAAACATTGCTCGTATTATACCAATATACTCCTGCGCCTGCCAATGCCCACCTCGCAGCACCGGCTTTCCAACTCCGGGACTTTTGTGAGCGTGATGCTGTGCCTAGAAATCGTCGTGCGGAAGTGGTATTAATGACAGATTTGGACTGTGGCAATCCGCATCTTGGCGCAGCTCGTAGAATGGACTTATACATATTGTGCTACCTTTGGAGAAAGACAGTGAAGTGAAACGCCTACGTATGATACAAAAGAAAGGTTAGAAAGCTGAAAGTAAGTATTGAAGCTCTGTTTGTAAGCATTTCTAGATTTTCTGAACTGCCGGATGGACCTGATCAGACTTCTAGAATTCCATGGATCATGTGATTGTCGATAAGATAAGATAAGATTATGAATCTCAATTTCTCGACTTTCTTCTTGCCTTCTCACCATAGCCCCTCATGATAATACCAATGATAATACCATCAAGTTGCCGGAGGTAGCCCATTCCTTCTTCTCTCCTTGTTGAGGCTTTACAAACTTGAAGTCCTGGACGGCTAAGGGGTTAACTTTCCCTACCGGTACACGTTTACAAACCTTCCCAAGGACCCCAACAGACACCCTCGAGACGTCGTCAAGATCATGGGATCCCAAGATGTTATAACCTGGCATCCTGCTGATATCTTCTCTGATCATCCAACAGATCACAAGGAGTTTGCGCTTATTGTCTTAAATCAACCTTTGGAACTCCCTTCTAACATCTACAAGAAGCTATGGGATAATGCTGTTTACCACATCGCAGCTGATGGTGGTGCAAATCAAGTATATGATAGAAACCATAAGACAGCCTTCAACAAGGATTTCCCTGATCCAGCCCTTGAAGTTGAAAGAAAGGCTAAAAATCATCTTGATATCGATACTATCATTGGCGACTTCGATTCCATATCCTCCAATCTCATCAAGTATTTCGAGGACAATGGTACCGAAATTATCAAAGATGGTGATCAATATTCCACAGATTTTACAAAGGCAGTGCGATATGTCAAAACCTTCGAGCAACCGGCTGGCTCGGAAAGGACCCCTCCGTGTTCCCATCGTCAAAAGAGACTAGAGAAACTTAAGCAACTACCCAAACCTCTTGATATCATTTGTCTTGGCGGCTTGGGAGGAAGAGTTGATCAAGCTCTCTCACAACTTCATCATCTCTATATGTTTCAGCAAGAGCCGGATTATTCCAAGGGCAAAATGTACCTGGTTTCCAGTGAAGCTATAACTTTTGTTCTCAAGGCTGGAAAACACAAAATAAAGATCAAGGAAGAGGGTAAATTGTTGAAATTAGGGAAACACATTGGGATTTTACCGATCAAGGAGCCATCGGTGATCACCACGCAGGGTTTGGAATGGGATGTAACAGATTGGAAGACGGAGTTTGGGGGTGAATTGAGTACCAGCAACCATGCGAGGGAGGACTGGGCGACTATTGAAACGACGAAGGATGTCGTGTTTACGATTGATTTCGTTCTTAAACCAGGTGAATAAATAAGATCATTTTGCAGTGGCCAGGCGATTCAATGATCTCACTGCTCAGGAGAATTGACACGAGTTCATGGCTTATACCACGGGGTTGCCCCATACTGTTCAAGGAGGTATTTAAAGCATGGGAATTCTTTTTGTTTGCGAACACCTCGATAGAACATTCCTACCATACCACTGCTTTACTATAAAGGATAGGCAATGAAGTCAGATCAGGGGTTTTACTCTTATACACTATCCGTACTTATTAGTCTCACGCAACCTATATGCGCTTCTCTTGACTACCTGTTACCTTGCTTGTCCTACAGACGCTTACAAAATACATAGCTTACTCTTTCTTCATATGCCTTTTATTTGTTTATTCTACTTCGGTGAAGCTCTTTTATTGAAATTTAACCGCAACTTGAGGATTGGATGTGTCTTCGTTTTCAATGCATGATCTTGAATACCGGAACTAGTGTTCGTCTCTTACAATGCACCAATACATACAAGTAGTCCCTTACCTAGGCATAACTTGACTACTGCAAAGAACAATTCTACAGGTTCGGGGTGTCCGTTATTCCTTTGATTCACAAGTACTCTAACTGGAGGGTCTGATCTCCCATTTCAATGGATTGGCTGTCCTCAACTTTCAAACACCGAGCTCATGGTTTTGATATAAACTACTTGGGATTTGTTTCATAGTTAGAGCAGCTGAGTGGTGATTCAACATGTTTAATCCTTATTAATGAGGTGTTGTACCAAATATATAAGATATGATATGGAATACATTGATTACAATAACTCTAAAGGTAAAATAGTAAGTAATCGACTTTTAAAAATGTTTTAGATATCATACGGGATGATTTCCTGAATGATATTGAGCCCGGAGGCAGGATCTAGTCTCGTCTCGTACTTTCTCCACGAAAACCCCTCCCCACGCGATTACCCCTCCCTAAACTACTTTTAGCTTAACG